GCTCTTTGCTCATTAAACCCAAAGAGATCATCGTCCAGTTTCAGCTCCTGCCGCGACCTGGTTCTGCACACGAGACAAGGCCAGCAGAAGAGCCGGCTCCAGCGCCGTCTCTGATGCATTTTATTCATTAACATCTCACATCTGCAGGCCCTCCACAGTCAGGTTAGACACCGTATGCGTGGAGCAGAGGGGAAAACAGATCTTTTAATCATCACGGTGGATGGGAATGACTTTGAAGTCCTCCAGAACTTGAAAGGTATCTTGTGTGAACAATCCAGTGGGTTCGGATGAATCCATCGGCGCGTAGGATCCACTGCACTAATGCTAGACTCCACCACCAGCATGAGTCCGTAACACGCGCAACATCAGTGGGTTAAGATCTTTCTTCAGGCCTTCATTAAAGTTGTAGAGAACGCCTGGACCCCCCCTCTGGCCCTCATGCATTCCTCCATGCGGCCGTTCTTTATGTCTGCTACTTCATGTGTAAAGGAGCGGCAGTTCTTCCACGTCTGCTGCGGGCTTCTGTCCTACCGTCCAGTTATGAATACAGGTTTTCCCACCCGCCAACAGCACATTGCCATACGTGCAGTGAGAAGCACCTTTCTTCCTGCCTTGTATATTTCTGCCTTTTTCTTTTGAGACAATGAAGGCTCAGTGTGCACCGTGGCAGTTTCACGCTTGAATCTGATTTGTTTCTTTGTTCATTCTTCAGCAATGGGGACCGAAAGCTCTCATGTATCCTCCTTATGTTTCCTTATGTTATGAGTGTGTGTGGTGTGCTTGCATTGTTTGGAAGGAACTGATCCAGTTTTGCCTCAACGAGGAGATTCCAGGTTGATTAAAAAATATTTCAGAACTTTCTCACACTTTCGATCTTTCGCAATTGTTTGTTTGTGTCTCAATGTTTGCAGCAGTCTGACTTCCTGCGTGGCAGCTGTTAAGGCGCTTGGGCTACGCTAACAGGAGCGTCCCGTGTGTCCTTATAAGGGCAAACTCACTCGCGGGCTTTAAAGCGAGTTTAAAGCACTGATCCGATCTGCTGCGCTCGAACCCTTCTGGAAATTATTACCGTAGCCCTCGTTTCATGCACAAACACCCAGTAACCCAGTAACCCCTACCTTCCACTCATGCCCCGTGCACGAGGTCGCGCACACGCCAGCAGGAAAAGCGACACGCCCCCCTTTTGTGTCGGCGAGTCTGCGCGACACCCCAGAGTTCGCCGAGTGAAGAGCACCATGCGGCCTCCGAGACCCGTGGACACCCGCGGGGAGTCAAAAGGTCCGGGTGTGACCCCTGAGAGTGAGACAGTGGCTGGCTTGTGGAAATGGCAATGAACTGTTTGTTTTGCATTTGTAGGAAAATGGTACTTTGTTCGTCACCCTTTTTTCTTTTATTTGGATGTTTTTGTGCAACACGCATCCTCTGCTGCAAGGATGCTTTTGAAATATAATCGGAAATCAGAGCAGGTACAGGTAAAAAAATTATGATTTGTATCCCTAAATAAACAGGTAATCTATGAAATAAAAACACTCTCCTTCCCTGAATAGTATTCAAACCATCACACGCTTCCCTTCAGCCCCTCCGACAATCCCATGTTTCAGTTGTTGTGGATACACGTCACAATGAATCATAAAGGGAAATTAAGGCAAATCTGAACATCTTTCTCCTATTTGCACACCGAGTGGTCTCTTTACTTTGATGTCATCTCGTTTCAGGGCTGCTCCCACAGGTGGTTGTTACAACGTGTGCATTTAGCTCAGCTATGCACAGCGCAACCATTAATAGTAGCACAGTATGTTTTAACTACCTTGACTCCTGCCATATTTGACCACTTCTGAGGAGTTTCCATGTTCGGCACAATAAATTAAACTGCCCACACAAACTGAATAATCCTATTTAAATCGGCCTTTCATGTGCAGCCGACTAGTTCTGAGGGGGGCCGCGCTCCTCAGGAGTACGTCACCGGCTGGCCAGGATTACGAAACCAATAACTCTGTAATTGGAAGTGATTGATTGAGCGGCGTCAGTCGGATGCATTCGGACGTGGGTTTGAGGTTTTGACTCCATAGAAAGTTGCTGCTCGGCAGGAAATGACTCACGGCGACTCTGCGAGCCTTCGCAGGCCTGCTGGTGAATCATTGAAACATTTCAAGGTTTCACCTCATTGGTTTGCATCTGTAAGTAAAAAAGCAAAAAGAAACATCTGGAAGCTCTGCCTCCCCCCAAAACCTACAGGTGTGTTTGACTCCCCTCCTCCCTCGCCGCCAATGAGGGTGCAGACAGCTCAGTAAAACGTATTTGCGAGTGTGACCTGTTTGCTTTGTGTTACCTGTGACTCACACGTCTGTTGCCAGCGGAGCAGCCGTCTGTCGGTCTGTAACGGCTCTCCGGGTTACAGACTTGTTGTTGTTGTTGTTGTTTTGGAGCCACAGTGGCAGTTGGTCTGTGGCTTGGTTTGAGAACACGCCCTCAGGGGGCGGTCGGTGGTGTAAGACTGTAACTGCATTGATTTGATGTGTTTATTGTTCCCTCCCCAGTCCCGCTGACATAGTTGCCTCTGTGTGATGTGGAGGTTCGGTTGAACGGACCGTGTCTCCAGACGAGTGTGTGTGTGTGTTTCTCTTTAACGGTCGCCCTGTTTACTCTGGCCGCCTCCCAAGTTTAAGGTGTGTTTTATGTGCTTGAGGTTACGCCCACTCGTCACCTTCCTGTGGAGGGAGCTCCTTGGTCGACTCGTCAAATGCATGAAGGAAAAGTCCGTTGTGGCCTCTGGATGATGTGTGCTGCTTGAATCGAGCGCACAAATGTTGCAACGGCTCCAAAGGGTCTCGACATGCGACCGCCGCTCTGATTGGTCCATTTAAAAAAGTTTTGTTAGACCTTGTAAAAGCCCAAGTGCTGACGTGCACACGTAGGATTTGCTTTCCATCTGCCCGTTTCATCACATCGCGATTATAATTCCCCTCTGTGCGTTCATACGATCACAGTAACCGACGTGGGCAGTTCTGCAGTCCATCACGTGCTCTGAGTTTGGGAGAGGTCTTTGTCTGATGAGCATTTGCTTCTGGGATGTGTGAAGTGACAATAACGGAACAGCGTCAAAAAAAAGTCATCCTGTCTTTTAGTACTAAGCAGACGTGGATGTATCGGAGTAGAGGCCCAGGCAGGAGCCTGCTCTGTTATATCTCAATAGTGAACAAATAAATCAGTCAGCGCCAGAACTTGGCAGTCCAGTGGCTTTATAATCACATCATTCAGCACGGGGCTTTGACAGTGTGGTAACAGACTGCTCCCTCGAGGCTCTGCTTTGTGTGTGTGTGTGTGTGTGTGTGTGTGTGTGTGTGTGTGTGTGTGTGTGTGTGTGTGTGTGTGTGTGTGTGTGTGTGTGTGTGTGTGTGTGTGTGAGAAAGTAACACTGCATAATGATAGAATGATCTTGTGACACTCTGGGTCATTGTATCATCTCTCTGCGGGGGTCCGAGTCAGACCCTGTTCTTGATTGTCTCATTTCGCTGCCATCTCCTTCCTTGTGACTCGGCAGGAATGTGAGGAATGACCTGAACGAGGCCTTGCCCCTTCCCACCCGGCACTCATCTGACCATTTTTAGGCATAACCGATTCCAGCTTCTCCTCCATTTAGCTCCTTTTCACATCGCCTCCCGGTTTCCCCTCGTGTTCTTCCTCCCGTCTTACCCGTACTTTTCAGTCAGATCAGCACTTCTCCTCACAAATTACAGTACATAGGAGAGCGCCTCTGAGCTACTGCAGCTCGGGCTGCATATTTTGTTAAACCACAGTGAGACCTCAAAACCCCCCCCCTCCCTCGCCAGCGGGGGGGTGTGGGGGGCACATTTACACATCCACCCCCTTCTCAACCCACCAGGGTGCACAGCTTAGCTTGACAAGCACATCCATCTCTCTCTAGTGGCGGCCGGTTGGCATTCAGAGGTTTGCCTTTTGAGGTGTGTGTTGTTTTGCGTGAAGCGTGTGAGAGGAAAAGGCCTGCCGGAGGAGCAGGAGCCGCTCATCGCTGCGTGTGTTGACAGGTTCCCGCTGTCGAGATCTGTCTCTAACGCGCAAATCACTCAGCCCCCCCTCCCTCCCCCACCCCCGACTGGCGTGTCAGTCTCCTTAATTACCCGTCTTTTGCTTGAAAGAATAAGCCCTCAGACTAATAACCGCTGGGAGCCATGAGTGGCTCAGCGAGTGTTTTTTAAATGAGCCACTTCAACATTCAAAGTGTCCTGGGCCTCCTGCAGCCGGGCTGCTGTTCAACCAACATGAATCGCGTCCCCGGGAAGGAGACACCTGGCCGGGGGGCAGAACACACTTCTCTCCCGTAGCCGAGCACCAGCTGCTGCTTGCAGACGTGCTTCTGCCTTCTCACGTCGGTGAAGTCTGGTCCCTTCACTTCATCAGCGATCGATCCCCGTAGCTCCCCAACGCACATCTGAAACCAACGCAGCGCCGTTTAGTCCGATGCCGTCCGCATGTCACACACCCGGATCACACTTACTGTGTATTAGGCTGCCGACATCGGTGAGACTAATCGCGTCTTTCTACGCGGCTGAGCACTCGATCGATCGATCAATCAACCAACCAACCAACCAACAACCATTTCACTCCACCACCAGACCAACATGTCTCGCCTTCGAAGTCCCACTTTTGAAGTATTGGCTCACAGGCTGCTGCCTCTTGTAAACAAACGCACTCTTGTCCTCGATTGGTTAATTACAGAGGGCTGGAGACGGGGACAGATGTCGGAGCCACGACTCCCCGCTACGAGCCCTAACACAGTTCTGCTCACTCGCCACCCTGTACTTACAGAACGCAGTGGATCCTTTGTTTAACTGTGTGGCTGTGGCGATGTAAGAGGAACAAGTGTCTATTCTCTGCAACCCAAATATTAGGCGTCCCGCTGCGCTCGCACTGGACACTTCCATTTGTCTTCATGCCTTCTTTTTTTTTTTTTTGATTGTCTTTTCATGTCGCACCTGCAGCTGGAAGGAACCGTGGATCTGGACAAGAGGCGCCTCATCCGCTCGGCCATCCGGGAGTTGAGGACGAGAGAGATCGAGGACATGGAGGCCGCTCTGGCCAGCAAGCGATTTCGTCCCACGCGCCTCAAACAGCAGGAGGACAAGGAGAACCAGCACAGGTGAGATCCTCAGCGCCCCGCACACAGAGACACGTCCCAGTGACAAACCGCACCAGTCCAGGTGAAAGGGGAATGCTGAGAACCCAGATGGAGCGTTCCTCTGCTCCCGCGGGAACAAAGAGGCGTCTGCAAAAGTGAAATTGAGGAAATCACAGCGGACAGGAGAAACTGCGACCGCAGTACATTTGCCATTTTCCTTTTGTATCTGCAGATTTGGCACATTAAACACATTGACACATTACCTCATAGGAGAATTAGATTGAAGACGTTCTCAGCACATTTATTTTTCCTTACTGGTCCACTGAGATCCTTCTCATGTTTCTTTTCCCCTCAGTAACACGTCCTCGTGTGTAATTCATCTGAGGAAAGTGAATAAACCGAGAACTCATCTCTTAAGACACCTTTTGCTTTCTTTAAATAAATATATAATGATAATAACTGCAAAACAGTACGGACAGATTTAGTTTTTGAAGAAGTGTCACTGTGATCATTACGAGTAACATTACTTTAAAGTCTTCATCAAATCTCACTATATTTTAACGATATAGAATATATTATTTGAGGGATAAATGCTGGTTGTTTTCCAACAAGCTCCTCAGAAATAACACAAATCGAATGCGGTAGTATAGCAATTGAAGCTGTAACAGTTGAACCTTTTTTCCCAGTGTGGGTGAGATGAGCTCTGCAGGTCGGCATGCACTAAGTCTCCTAACAGGTGTTAATGAATGACTGAGCTAAGCACCACAAAGGATTTAACCGTATTGGATGTGAAGAGAATGCTCGACCTTCTGCTGTCTCTGAATCCTCTTAAGACCGGCAGGCGATCATTTCTCTTTACTGCTGCTCTCAGAAGACTTGGACTACAATGCTAGAGCCTCACTCAACCTGCCAGACAGAGCTCGTCTACTGTGGGTTAGACATTCACACACACACAGACACACACACACACACACACACACACACACACACACACACAGAAAACATCTATGAAAGTTCCAACTATCCTGTGCCTCTCCGTGGTGGAATGTGAAATATTCCATGCATCCTTTAATACCAGTGACAGCAGGAAAGAGAAGATAATGGGGGAACTGAAGAAGCGTATGAGTAATAGACAACAAAGTGAGCGGTGAAATCTGCGAGCCGCCTTGTGTGTCATCGCTGTCCGATCTGTTACGCCAGAATATCATTTTTCACGCTTGGAAAAATGCCCTCTGATGAGTTTTCTCCCATCCAAGAAAACCGTTTATACAGAGTTATTATCTTCTGTTGCCTCTCACGTGCCCAGATGTCCTGGTAATTGTGTTTGAGTACTTTAAGTTCCTCTCCATTTCAGGTCTGAATGCAACGACAACTTGGACGTCCTGTCACGAGATCTGCGATCAATCCAGGACGTTGACGAGCTCACGAAAATGGTTTGTATTGACGGGCAAAAACAAAATCAGAAAATGGTGACCAGTTTAAACTGAAAACTTGTGCGTTTTTTTTAAAGCTCCGTGCCGCCAGTGAGTACGAGGAGAGGAAGTTGATCAGAGCGGCCATCCGACAAGTCCGAGATGAACAGCAAGGTGGGTCCAGCTGTATGTGGGTTTAATATAGAGTAGAGTAGATTAAACGACACCGTCTGTGTGATTGTCGCACAAAATGCAAGGATGACGCGTCGCTGAGGTTTACACACTTGCACTGACGAGTCTGAAGATGGTTCTGTGAAGATCTAGATGAAGGTCAAAATTAGTTTAAAGGTCTGCGATTGAGTTGACACAACCACACGTCTATCACTCCTCAAACATAATTTATTTGAATGAATACACCATCCGCAAAATCGACGATTGATGCGATAATCTGCTTCTGTCTTGATGTAAATGTACGTTAGAGTGGGAGGGATAGCGGGCTGTCGGTGGTCGCCATAGCGACTGTGGCACATCTACCTAATAGTAATCATTGCACTTTGTTTCAGGGACTGCGGAGCGGACTAAAGCTCCGAGTGTGGAGCCCCGGAGCGGCATGGCAACGGAGGTGAGTACGGAGGAGTTAACGGAGCCATCTGTCACTGCATCACCCTGACATGGTCTGAACGTCACATAGCAGCTCATGGGTTTCTGTATTTAATGTTCTACTCAGTCTTGTCCTTTTGGATAAAATGAACTTAACTCAGGAACCGCAAAAAAAATCTGTGTTTTCTTCGCATGGCAACGGAGACCACCGAGGTTTGTCTGTTGCCCCAAAGAAGAATGCAGCAAAACAACAGCAAGAATTGTGACTGCAGTCCCACACGGTCATGATTGTGGTCGCACCATCCGCACGCACGCACACAAAACACACGCGTTGCTGCCACAAAGAAAATAAAGTTTGAGCCTGGTGCTTAGAGGAGGCAGTGAATTGTTTTTAACAAAAGACTTGATTTAACTTTGATCAATCCATTTAATGGTTTTATTGCATCATGGCCAACTTTTTAAAAACTCTGACGTCTCTCTCAGCCCTCTAGTGGACGTTCATGGACTGTGTCCTCACAGTTGGACTGAACTTTTAGCATTTTCAGCGACCCGAGGCTTAACCGTTTGTGAGAGTCCGCCAGGAGCCAGATGTTATCTCATCTGCTGTGTTTGATCAGTTTTTTGATGAATGCTCTGTTTCCAGATTATTGTATTTCTGTTTAAGGAACAGCGAAGCTGCTTCTTACTGTAATGCCTCCCACGGGGCTGTAACTCAAGCTCAGTGTGCGATAGCGGAACACCTGATACAATCAGATGTGTTATCAAAGTTCTGTCAGTTCTTGTGAAAGTCCCTTCACGGTGACGTAAGCGTCAACAAATGAAGGCTGTTAGTATCAGTCCCATTGTCTATCTTTGTGTGTGTGTGTGTCACACAATGACAGCATGCTGGTGTCACAGGATGCTCCAACATTCAAGCCTTCTTTGCCTCACTTCCTGTTAGATAGCTGAGCCGCACGTCAGCAGAGTCGGGAGTAGTTGGTGCAATGGATCACGGGAAGGGTGGAGCTCTGTGTGACAACGAGAGCGGGAGGGGTGATTAGGACAGACAGACGTCCAGACAGACAGACAGACAGACAGACCGACAGACCACCAGCTGTGCCTCAGCTGCCTAGTCTGCCTGCAATTGGGACGCGGCCAAAAACAACATCAGCCAGCAGCAGCGGGGCTCCTTCCACTCGCATCACAGCAGCGGATCTCTTTGAGCTGTGTGCGATTGTCTCGTGGCAGCTGGAGGTCATAGATAGGCCTCAGCAACAGCCAAATACACAACACACACGTGCAATATATGTGGACGCTGCCAGCAGCTTCAAACAAACAATTTATGGTGTATATGCACGCTTAATTATTGGATCAGTGTAGTTGTTAATTTACCGGAATCCACCACCCATTAGAAGGTAATGACTGCATTTAACGGCCATGTTTTAATGCAATGACGCACAGTAAGCCAGTAAACCATACTGGAACCGCTTATAAAAACTACTTGAATGATATGTTTGTAGCCCACAAAATAATGCCAGAAGGAAAGAAAGTGCAACATTTGTAATAATTGAAATGAGTTTGTGTCATCTTGTAAAACAGTTGGAGGAATAATAATATGTCAAAACTAAGTTAAAGGGTGTCAGAAGTCAATGTGTGAACCAGGCAACCCTTTAACTTGGTGTGTGTGTGTGTGTGTGTGTGTGTGTGTGTGTGTGTGTGTGTGTGTGTGTGTGTGTGTGTGTGTGTGTGTGTGTGTGTGTGTGTGTGTGTGTGTGTGTGTGTGTGTGTGTGTCAGATCCCTTTGGAGAGAGAATGGGAGGGAGGGGAAGTAAAGGGAGTGGCTTGTTAGTAGTACGTGTGTGTGTGTGTGTGTCAGTGAGAGAGAGAGAGCGTATGATGTGGCTGAGGGAGTAGAGCGACAGAATAGTGGACGTTCTGCCTCCAAGAGGTTTGCGCCTGAGAAAGAGACGGACAGAGAGAGAGAGAGAGAGAGATAAGGTACATGTCATTCTGATTTTTGGGGGGGGGCTTTTTTTCGTCTTAAATCTGCTTGTTTCTGTGTGACTGAAGATTCAGTCTGATTGCCTGTTGTTAGCGTAAATTAACAGTTGATGACACCTTGATGATGCATAAGATGAAACTGGGTCATTGACAAATTGTTGAATTGAGACAGCCATATAAACAATAAGTTTAAGGTCAAGTCTTGAGTATTTAACACTTAACACTTAACACAGTGAATGAATCCTGTGAGGCCACAGAGTTGCACGTGTTGGGAGAGCTCAGGTAGGCGGGTGTTGCTCTTTGATCACATCATAAACATGTTGAGTGTGTCAGAGCGGACCTATACCTGTTTGCAATTGAGCGGAATTTGCAGACTTTGAGAGATGAGTCGTGTTTCAGCGTTAAAACGTAAAGTAGATACATTTAGAAAAGATCCAAAAAGTGAGCTTGGATTGGCATGTGATGATTTGCAGAAAGTATAAATGAGAATGCGAGTAAGGGCTGAATTATATAGTTGTGTGTGTGTGTGTGTGTGTGTGTGTGTGCGCGAATGAATGGTACTGAGATGATTGCTTCTTCATTCCAGCTTCTGTATTTCAGTTATTGGAGCTGAGCCGAGTGTGTGGCTCCTCAGGCTGCAGTAAAGGGGGGAAAAAGCCTCCAGGCTTTCCCTCTGGTCCGTGTGGAGGCATTGAAGACTCCTCTGAAGATGGGTTTCACTCCCATGGAAAACTGGAGCAGTGAACATTTGAACCTGTAGCCTTGTGGTTCCCAAACTGGGGGTCGCGGCTTCATCAACAGCCCTAAAAAGAATTGTGGTGTTGAATGTGGAAATATAAGTTTTGCACTCTTCCGAACTTTGATTTGATTAATATTTGAAGCACATTTACCTACGAAGGTAGGGGGGGGGTTCCTGACACACAGAGTTTGGGAACCCCTGGCGTCTGAGGTGGAAGGTGACGGAGGTGTGTGCCTCTGTCTCATTGTTTTTGTGGAGTTGGTGGTTCAGAGGAATCCAGATGGCCGACGCCTGGCTGTGGTCACAATGGCGGACGGTCGTTTTGTGTGTTTTACCAGTTTGAGCGTTTGCAATTATAGTCCGACGCAAGCAGGCTCCCGAGGCCTCGCCGGGTGAGCGGTTTCGGAGCGGGGCGGCGCTGGTTCCACTGTGTCAGGTCTTCACGGTTGGGGTCACTAATGACAGCGTGGTGGCTGGCAGCAGGTTCCCAGCGCTGGTCTCCGGTTTCACCTCGTCCTCCCCTTTTTTCCCCCTCTGCCTCGCTGCCTGTGAGAAAATTGTTCCCTGTGGTTTAGTGGGAGCTGTGAAGTGATGGCTGTCTGTCTGACTCCCAGTAGAAGCAGGAGAGAAGACCTGTCCTCTCTAATCGAGTTTACGGCCCCAAAAAACAATCCTCTCCCCGCGAAAGTGTCTGCACTCTCCCCAGTGCAGACACTTTTTGATTGAGTGAATCCACTCCGACGGAGACCTTTTGTGTGGTTGCTCATCAGACACCACGATGACTCATTAAGTCAGCATTCCACCAAATTCTCAGTCTGTGAGAAACGTTTAGCGAGTCGATTCGTGCCCCAGAATTTAGGCCAGCATTTTTTTTCTTTTGTTGCTCCATATGGAAAAGTGGAAGCCATGGAAAAAATGTAACGGGAGCCCCTTCTGTGAGATTTACACTGCTGTGATGTCACATGTAGTATTTACATTTTCAGTTTCATTTCTTTCACAAATGCCCTCCTGAACAATTTTACCAACAAAACGTTGCTTTAATTTGCTCTTATTTAACTACATGTAACGACGTGGTGCCACTTCAGATGTGCCTTTCCCGTTTGGGCTGCTGTCTCAGTGTCTCACTGCATTTTCTCCACCCTGCATTCTGCTCAAGGTGGGGAAGGACGCAGTCGGCCGAGCAGGAAGCCTCGAGGCCGTTCTCGCCTCTGCCGCTTGCTTGTGTTTTGGATTTTCTTTGTGCTCGTTCTCCCTCGGGTCACGCACTGCGTGGAACACAAATCACACAAAGGTGTGACCGATCAGATCCAATCTGTAGCTGCTGATGCGTCTCTTGACAGCTGATTGTGGATGTGTTTTCGGAAGCTTTGCGAAAGTAATTGTGGGCTGTAAAACTGGTGTACACCCGGTATGTAAAGTCACGTCCCGTATGTTTTTTCAAGATCCACCCAAACCTTTTTTTTAGGGCTGGTCCTAAACCAGATGCCACTTGTAAAACACCTTCAACAAGATGTTTTGTCGTGATGATGTAGTTCATCATTTCAAATGCGCTTCACCACCTGACGCTCTACACACACGGTACGTGTAAGTTCTCAGAGTGTTGTGGATTACAAATGCGGTAGCGATTTAAACTGTGTGTGCGTGTTCACGCGTGCTCGGAGGAGCTTTATTTGTTCAGCCGATTCTCCCGTGGAGGAGTACAAGGCCTAACAGTAGTGGCAGGATCCTCATCTTTCCGTCCTCCAAACCTCTCGTTTCCTCCATATGCCAAAATACTCCTGCATCTCCTCAGAGATCCCCCCCCTCCTACCATCAGTGCAGGTCAGAGCGAGATTCTACACATTGGCTCTTTTGGCACGCGGGGCGTCTCTCTCTCTCTCTCTCAGGCGTATTCAACGGGGGGTAAAAAACGGTTCTTTACTTTTCCAGCTGGCCAAACGTGTTGCTCTTCGCGGCTGAAGCATTTGACCTCGACCTCCAACAAAAGACTGTTGTGATCACCAGGCGACCTCAAGCAGATGACCACGGGGGGGGTGTTTACGCTCTGGTTTTGATCACAGGGACGGGTTGTGCGTTCGTCCCCAATATAAACCTGATGACGTTAAAGAGCGCAATGCGTCTGGAGCTTGAAACGCTCAAAGCTCGCATGTTTATTCTTTCTTCTTTTTTTTTTTTGTTACAGGAGACAGGAGAGATTCGAGAGTCACAAGGCCAGCAGACGCAACAAGGCAGAGAGCCGCAGAGAGCAGGTGAGAAACAAACGGCCTGTGACGGACTGCGTATGTCTTTGACTTGGAACATATAGCTGGAAGCCCACACTGACCAAGTCTGTTGGCTTTATGTGGCTGCATGTATCCGTCTTAATGCAATTTCCTCTTTGCTGCCTGTTAAAACAGTCCGCTGAAGGAGCCATTATCCAGAGGTGGCGGTCAGGAGGTTATATTAGTTCAGGCTCCTTCATCTGACTTTATTAACCGTTCAGAGTCACTCACAGCCAGAGGCTTAGTGCAAATGGCTTCGTAAGTGTAAAGTCATTTCATTAACCTCTCTTTAATGCAGTATTATGAATGCAAGCCTTTAGGGGGAGGATGAATGTGCTTCCTTCATTTGAATCCTTGAAGCTTTGCAGGAACAAAGCTGGCAATGAATAGCTTGTAAAAGGATAAAAGTGCATTTGTGTTTTTACAAACCCGCCTATAGCTTTGCTCAATATAAATCGATCAGGACAAACTATTAATTAGGCAACGGCCTTTGTACAGAATTCACATTTTTGCTGAGGATTAAAGTGTTCTTTCGAGGGCTGGTTGACCTCAACGTGGCCTTCAGGCTGACGGCTATAATAATGTCGATCCGTGTGGCCCAGTATTCCCTGAAAGGTCTCGTCTCCTTCTCCCCGGTGTTGGTGTTGGGGTTTTGAGGAGCAACAGAGGGAAGCCCAACAGCCACACCTCCGCTATATAAAGTTGATACCGGAGCAGAACTCTGGCCTTGTTGACTTGGCAGAAGAAGCCCCCGCTGTTCCTGATTTTTTCCCTACCTTACAATTTAGACCAGGGTGAAGCCGGGGTGAACAAAATAAAGACCACCGTAGAAAAGCAAAGGAGGAAGGCGGCCTTTAAAGTGGGCTCCGGTCAACAAGGACGGAGACGTTCGCGGCGGGGACGGGAGTGCTGGGTTGGGACGGTGGTTCTTGAAGAGGCGGCTGTCTTTTCAGCAGAGGGAAAGTGGCATTCATACCTCCACCTCTCAGACTAAAAAAAGCTTTACCTCAATTACCATGTTTCCAGCTGTACTGCATTCTAGTGCAGAAGGTAACTTGTGAAGCGGTGATTAAGGAAATGAAATGTTAGCAGAGACGCTGAGTGGAAAGTGGAAACGGTCCCAAAAAGAGAGAAACTCAGCTGTGAAGAACTTGAAGGACTGAATATGTATTTACTATTTATACAAAGTTCGCAAGTCATGTGTGTGTGTGTGTGTGTGTGTGTGTGTGTGTGTGTGTGTGTATATATATATATATATATATATATATATATATATATATATACAATCATCTCCAAAATATCTAAAATATTTGCTTTTCATCAGATAATCTGGAGAATTTTACCATGATATACATGTATAAATGTATATACATAAATGAATCTATAAACATGTCATTGCCCGTTCACAGCGACGACAAACACGAGCTTCCTCGGGTCATTGCTTCAGTGTGAGAAAGGACAGAGCGAAGCTGTAGTTTTCTGTTGTTTGTGCTCTATATATATTGACTGGCAGTTGATTCCTCAAGCTGCTCCTGTAGCCATTCCAGAGCTAAAAGCAAGCCTCTCATTATCCAGCTGCAGGATTTTCCCAGAATGTGCTACACAATGAACATAACACGCTCGCCGATGCCAAAAACCTTGAACAATACCGTGAGAGTTTGCAGGAGAAGCAGTGCGTTGCGGCTTTTGCCATTCAGAGGGTCTGTCGCATGTGAGAATGGCAGCCAATTATTGTCCTAATTGTGTACCATATTCCCTGTGTATTACATAATCATCTGGTCTGTTTAATCAACCACTTGCTGCCATTTTTAACTGATTAGGTAAAATTTCGAGAGCATCTTTTTTTGGGAAGGTTACACAATAAAGATTTAAAAGAAGCTGTGAACTCCTCAATTCCGTGCTGTCGGTAAATGCAAAGACATTCCTGTGGCCGGTCAGACTCTTTGATGTGGTCCGTAAAGGACGGGCTTACATTCTTGGTGAACCCCTGTTGGTCTCAGAGATGTCCCGCTCTAGTGTGTAGCCATCGTGTGCACATGGGATTATAATACTCTGTTGGTTTTCTCTGGTTCCCTTATCTGCGGTGCGTGTGTGACCTCAGATGTTCCATCGGTAGAAGCACTACTGGGTGTTGGGAGACTTTCACAGAGGGAGGATGTGGGCAGTGCTGCGTTGTTTGGAGTGTGGTTTCCTGAGGAGAGGAGGAACGGTACGGGAGCCTCCACAGAGGGGGGGGGAGTACTTGTCCTAGGCTCCGTTTCACCCTCACTTCCTCCTCCACTCCTTCTACTTGATTACCGCCTATGGTCGGGCCGCATGCTCCCTCACTTTAGTTTGAACCCCTCCTTTTCTTTTACGCACATCCACCGACACAATCTCCAACATCATTCTCAGGAACTGAAGCCCGTCTGGAGGAAATGCCTACGTCCCCCTCGTGTCTCCACGTGCCTCCTCTGTGGTCCCGGGTGATGTTTTCTAGCTGGGCCTCTCATGGGGGCCCCTCTGCCCGCAGAAGTATTTCTTTTTTACATCACTTCAATCTCAAACTTCCCCCGGCGACCGCTTCCTTTGCTCGCATACGGTAACACACGGATCACTCGTGTGATGTGAAAGAAAGAAGAGAAGTAATGTGAGGATTTGTTTCTGTTTTGTGCTAAATCCACAGGATTCAGAAGGCATTTATTTATCTTTCATGGTTCATCCTGTGCTCCGTGTTGCAGGCTCCGGCTCAGGCATGGTGTTGGACAATGGCCCTGAACCTCTGCTGATCCAGCCTCAGAGAGAGGCGGCGACCACAGAGCCCGACGTGAGCCGCTCCCATCGCCAACGCTCAGACTCCTGGGCTTCGGACCGCAGCGGGACCTCCGTGTCCAATCTGGATCCCGTGGCCTCGGAGAAGAGTCTCTGCTCAGCCTACAGACCTCGGCTGGACTCGGGCGCTTCAGACAGGAGCCACAGTCCCATCCAGCGCGGTCGCCTGGATTCCGGGGCATCTGAAGGAAGCCTCAGACAGAGACTGGGCTCGGATGTCTCCGACTCTGGGGTGTCTGACCGCTGTGCGAGTGCGTCCTCTGAGGAAAGGGCTCCAGTTGAGGAGGTGGAGGCCGCCACAACCGGTTTGACCCACGGCGCGGATTCGGAAATCGAGGCCGGAAGACAGCGTCCAGCCAGCCCCAGTGCCCGGTCCAACCAGGACCAGCCTGATGGGGCCGCTTTGTCCAGGAGAAATGCTACAAATGGCCCGCTGAACGGCAGCGCCAAGGGGAAAAACAACGTCCAGACTCAGAAGGTGGAGTGCACAGTCCTTTGTCTTTGAGTTGTGAATATATAGAAAGGTGACAGTGTGTGTATATCCTAACCGCACCACTAGAGTGAGGTGTTGAGCCACATGCGCAAACCGTCCCAGCTCTCCCTTCCTTCCTCTACATGTCATTATCCCTCACGAGAAGCCCCGACACCCCCATTCCTCACTGACACCCAGGTCACATCGGCATCCATAAACACGGCACGCCAGGCTATTGTTAGGCGCTGTTTGACTCTCGTTACTTGGCTACACAAACAAACTGTGCACCTGGGTGTCTCTGCTTCGCGTCTGCGGCGTGTCCTCCTCACCTGCTGTCAGGGAGGGATGGACGGCGTTACGGACCAGAGGCTCTGTGTCTCCTCACAGAGAGCACACGCAGTGGCTGTCGGGCGCCGGTTCCCATGTTGGGCGCTCGGGTCACCGTGACGCCGTGGTGTCGCTCTGGTGAATGTGTTTACCCGAGGCCGGCCCCGGACTTCTTTTTATTGTTCCCTGCAAAGTACGCTGATGCTCAGCCTCCTGAGAGTAATGTAAACACTCTGGGGCCCATCACGGCCCCGCTGCCAAAAACGGAACAGAGGCCAACTGCTTCACTCCAAAAACAAACGCTACAAAATGAATACAGCAGCAGTTGATTGTGTAATTGTGTAGGTCTGCGTGTGTGTAGTTTTCACTAGAGCCATCTATAGACTCTCGTCCCTCATGAATGTGCGTCGCTGTTAAACATGGAGCCATTCGGTACGGCAGCTGTGTGGTTGTCATCCAGGCACACTGCATGTTAACACTCCTCATGTGACTGTTATGTCATGCTTAATTGTTTGTTTGGTTTTTCCTTTTTTAGATGACAAACAGCGAGCTGCTCACCGGTCATGGCAAAGCAACAGATTTTGGTGAGAAACTAGTTTTCTCTTCGATATCAGTCCAAATCACTCTTAATTAAATATGTTTGGGAACAACGCAGTTGATTTGGAAAGACATTTTTTTAATATTCTTGGATCTTACATTTAATAAATGACTCCATTATATGTCATCGTCTGTATTGTTGAGTATTTTGGTTTAGTTTATATATATGTGTGTGTGTGTGTGTGTGTGTGTGTGTGTGTGTGTGTGTGTGTGTGTGTGTGTGTGTGTGTGTGTGTGTGTGTGTGTGTGTGTGTGTGTGTGTGTGTGTGTTGTATTTAAGTCTATAATAACATGCCAGATGGGTAATAGCTCGTAGGAGTATGAGGAGGGAGTGACGGCCGTTAGTGTACGCATAGAAGAAGAGGGCATGTGATAAAATACACCTCTTTTCAGGATGACCTCAGTTAATATATTCTTCTTTTAATCATACATGTTTTTTTCTGTTGGAGTCTGTGCCAAATCATGAGCTTTGTTCACATTACCTGACAGTAGTAAGGATCAGAGAATGGAAAAAAAGACATCCATGAGTGGACGAGTCACGCCCTGAAAAGTCTAAAAAATAAGGGACTGAAAGGCGGTGAAACGGGGAGGAGGGTTAAGTCAAGCAAAATAAAGGGGATTGGATCGAACCTTATGGGGAGACGGGGGGGTTATAAAGGGCTTTTGATGTGAAGGAGCTGATGAGAGCAAAAGACTAAACGTGTGTTTCAACTCCCCTCCTGCATTACGTCTCCACAGCACTCGAGAAGAAAGATGTTGTGGAACATGTCAACCGCACCAACTCTGTACGCGATAGAATGCGCAAGTTTGCAGAGGCCAGCCAAAGCCCAAATGTCCCGCCTTTGAAGAAAGCCCCTCTGAGGAACGGGACCACCTCCGGCAGCAGAGCCACCGAGCTGTTTACACATACAGCATCATCCCTCCGCACATCTGGAGACCGGCCAGCAGCGCCACGTGTGGACTCCGCATCTCAAGACTCCGCCGCATCCCAGGATCGGGCCGTATCCCAGCCAAGGGGCGTGGCTAACAAACCTCCGTCTTCAGCCAGCCAATGGCAGGACTCCATGGGTGGGACGAGGCATCCAGCTGAAGAAGATGTGCATGCCTCCAGCAGCTCAAAGGAAGACGGGACCCAAGGGAGAGCAGCTGGACAGCAGGTCACCCAGGGAGAGGCAGACCCGGACATGAAGACCTTCCTCACCATCGAGATCAAGGATGGGCGCGCCACCCCCTCCTCTACGTCGCCCTCTAGGAGCAACATCGTGCCCATCACCAACATGACCCCACGCATCACCACAAATGCTCTGGGGCAGAGAGCAGGTAGGAGCACCAACCTCACGGAGCTCATGCTCCAACTCCGTCTCTGCCAAAATAACTCTCTTAACGTGATTTTACTATGTGTCTATTAAGAACCACATGAGCTCCTATGTTTGTTTTATCGCTTAATGCTTTTCAGGAGAATCTTGACTATATTTACCTTTTTGTTTTAAAGCTTTCTGGGGATATCGTACCGTTCTGCAGCCCACTGTGTTTCAGGCAGCATGACTCTTAAATACGACTGTCTGTCTTTCCGAGCTAATATCAACCATGTCTCAGTCGGTGTGGGAGGCGGCCGGCACCAAGGAAGCGCTTACAAGTGGGAATAGACGTTAGTGCTGAATGTGAAACAGCGCGGTTGCACTGAAGGGTGTTTGTTACAGAGCGGGCAGGTTGCTGCAGTGTGGCCGGGGTGAGGTCAGTAGTCAACAGAAGCAACTATATTCAGACAATGGCGGCAATAATGAATAGTAATACTGTTCCAGGGAAATTCTCGCTCGCCCACACGGTGCATTGTTCCGTTTGTCCCGTGCTGTAGATGTTGTCTGTCCCCCATTCCACTACTTTTCCCGATTAGAGATGAGAAAATAAAACGTCAAAGTTACCAGATTACCAGCTGTTTTAGACACTGCAGTGTCCTCAGTTTGAATGAGGCTAGATACCGTTAAATAGTGCAACTATTTAAGAAAATGTTTCCACGCCTTTTATTAGTGAGTCAACACGACAGGAAATGAAGGAGGAGAAATGGTGAAAGACATGCAACTTAGAATGGAAACCAGGGAGGATGCACATCTGGTCAGCGTCTTAACCAGCTACTTGTGTGTGTGGAAAGATATAAATAAATGATATATATATAATCATAATCTATCCGGCTGTCCCGTGTCAAAGTGTCCCTGAGCAAGACACCTGACTAAATAAAGGATACTTTATTTCTTTCTAATATCCGTGCAAGAAATGAAAATATGGCTTTTATTTAAATAAAACACTTAATCGATCTAACAATATCTGCTTTTTCGTCGATCTCCACGTAACATCGCGCTGACAAGTCTACTTCACTGCAAGTGTTTAACAAGACATTCTCGGGTGGATGCGTTTCTGTTCTGTCAAATAGTCAATAAGTATATAAAGCAGCTCGACTGTCTCTTATGAACACATTGTTCCTGTACATTATCACTTAGTACAACATTTGTTGTTTGTATGAGTCAGAAACGTGAATAGCTTGAGACCGTTACAGGAGCAGAGCTGCTACAGCCGCTGTTGCGGTCTGTCCAAACAAGACGTCTTAAGTTTCAGTTCTTTGCAGCAACCGGGAACTCCAACCCAAACAATTTATTTAAGACTCAAGCTGGAACTGTGCAATTACACCTCTTACAACCAAACCCCCCGGCTGTCATGTTCTGGCAGCCCCACTGGGCCCCCTCGGGAGGGTTTTGTGCTTTTTTTGGGAACTTTACTGTCTCCCAGTCAGCAGAGGCAGACTGTGGGACCTTCTTAAAGTCTTAAATGTGCCCTGCTGCGCTGGTGTGCATCAATCCTGTGTTTTTCTGATATAGCTTTAGAGTGCGTGTGTGCCTGGAGTGAAGGGATGGAGGTTCGGGGCTTTGACAACGGATCACAAGGACATGCATGTGTGTACTCTTGCCGGCAAATGAAGAGGGCTGTTTATGTTCTGTTAATGTTACTCTCATTAGACCGTATTGTTTATGGCACCATGGCAGCTCATGTAACTGATTAATAACTATCACCAACCCAGTGGAAGACCATGCACACGTGCATGTAACCTTTTATGCTTTTGTTCCTGCCCATGGCTGTCATATATATATATATATATATATATATATATATATATAAAGCAATTACACCTGAAAAGTTGTTATTTATAATCCATGTAACTTCGTGTCGTCACTGTGTCTGTTTCAGAGTTGACCCTTGGCCTCAGAGCTACACCATTCAAGATCTCCTCATCCAGCCTCTCCTCTGGATCCTCCATCAAGGTACATTTTGCCTGTGCAAATTGTTTTCTGGGAAAAGAGCCCAACATTGAGGCGCTGCAGTTTGTGAAGACAGAACTGGTCAGAATCATGAATCAAAGAGACATTCCCAGTGCCTTTCCAGTTAAAGATTAACGCTTTGTTTTCATCTACTATTTCATTTCCCTCTGACTCAATTGAATTCCACCGTGTTTTTGTCCGTGTCACAGCAATCACCCATTAAGGCCTTAAAAGCAAGTGAGCTGGGACAGTGAAAGACAGAGTGTAAGAAAAGGAGGGAGGAGAGGGAAGCACCGTGTTTATCAAACACAGAGTGGGCAGCCGGTCACATCTGTCCTTGTAGGGTCTGTGAAGGAGAGAGCGGGAGAGGGAGGGGCTCCGGGGCATTCCTTGTTTTTCTCTCGTCAGGCCGCGTATCTGTTCCTGAATCACACCTGTCTGTCTCCATGCACACCGGTCGCTGTCCAGCTGCATCCAAACACGTATTGGCAAAAGTGTCTTCATCCTTCATCCTTTTCTTAAGGGGCCAAAACCCAAAGGTTCAACTTGATATGCCTAAGGTGGTCCGAGTCCAACTAATTCCCCCTCGGCTCACTGTGACCTCAGGGGTCCGAACAGCTCAACCTGCCTCATTCTTTACCTTGCCCCTCCATGAAAGGAAGTACCCTCATGAACGGAGTGCGGGGGATCGAGAGGTTGAGTTGAGGAGTCGTGGCTGTGTTTCCCACCTCGCGTGTAATCTGCCGATGGGATCAAGGAGTTGGGTAATTAGTTGGGAGGAGGCTCCACGAGGCTGCGGGGTGAATTTGAGGTGATGGAATGAGAGCGTTGGAGTTGTAGAATCAACATTTAAAATTGATTTATCACGTTTATTTACCTGCCAAGACCTCATTGTTTCTAACAGTAACCCATCAACACAGTCATTCACCGATTGCTGCTTTGGTCTTCTGTAGTTGCTATCCTGCTGCACTCAAACAACTTCAAAACCATTATGATGATCCATGAGAATTAAGTATGAGAGAGTATTTCTCTCTTTCTCACTCGCCCGAGCGAGTTGGCTGATGAGATTGTAAAAACGTCAGCAGACACCGACTGTTAGCATCAACCAGGGGGAAAGCAGCTTCAGGCCCATCCAGAGACGAGCCATTTGGTTGAAGTTCAAGTTAGTGTGAGGAATCAGGCGAAAATCTTTATTGAAGTACCCTTTTTAGTGTGTATGTTGATAATAAGAGATGTGTGCAGATATCAATGCAGAGTAACATGAGTTCTCCCTGTTTGGTGATGTTGATTGTTGTTTTTTGACCACAGTGGTCCCCGTGTGGGACTCTGATCTGTTTGGGTGGTCTTAGCTTCTCCCCTGTGGTCTAACCTCAGCCCTCACTGCCTCTCCTGTGTGTGCTTTTTTATTTTATTCCAACAAAAACATTATAGTTTTTGCAACGAAAACAATGAAGGACAAATGTGAGTAAAGGAGACAGAGCTGCTGCTTGTCATTTATTTAAAGTTAATGGAAAAGTCAAGACGCTTGTAGTGTTCAGTGAAGTGATGAGTTCTTCGCAGCCTGCAGCTGATAACCTCCTCCTCTTCCTCCTCCCCCTCCTCCTCCTCCTCCTCCAAGCGGCCGCAGCTTCGCTATTATTCCCAGTCAAGTGCTGCGGTGAGAAGAACGGATACACAAGGCGACGGTGAATAAAAGATTGTCTCACTGTCGTACAGAAGGAGAAGGACCCCATTGTTAACAAACTGCTGATTCGTGAGATCGACGTCTCTGCATTGCTTTGTTTATTAGTTCTGGCTATTGTTCCAAAAAATAATTTATTGCAGCTTCCAACAGAGCAGCAGTCGCGTATACGGGTGAGAAGATGGTACATTTCCACCACGTCAGTTTCTGCCATAATAATGAGCACAGACCCAATGTACATGGAGAACATTGTGTGTGTTTTTATATATATACGGGTCACGCTCGCAGTCCTTCTACTCTGCTTGGCTTTGCCGTGGGTGGAGTGCGTTACCGCGTTCATGCATGGTAAGACTCGGGCCATGTCCTTCTTGGGTTTTGACCTATTCTCCCTGCTGCCACTCACATTTCTCTCCACTCTCCCTCAAGAAAAACTAAAGTATTTTGATCATCTGTGAATCCCAAGAGAACCCACTGTTGCCCTTTGAACCGAATCAATCAATGCCCGTTCCGTAACGGCATGTCATCAATAATTATAAGTTTATTACGTGTCGCTGATTACCTGACTGCCTGCAGCGGTACAGTATGTACAGTACCAATGGGGGGCTTTGTAGGGTCTGCAGTACGCCGATAAATCCTCCGGGAGGCATTTAAAAGATGTGCCTTAGCACCTCGCGCTATAAACAACATGCACACACAGACTTCTTTCAGCGCTCTTGGAAAGCTCTTCATTTATCACAAACGCACTTGAACCGCCCGCATGAGCAGCAGCTGGGCCTCACCGGTCAGCCGGTCTGCCGTGTTGTGGCTCTTAACTAGAATGTGTCCTTCGTCAACTGGTTCCCCTCAGAGGTCTTCTTTAGATCAGTCATTAAACACAATCTACCCGATTAGTCGCCACGCATTTTGTGCGTCGTATATCGAAAGCAATTTTATGAGGTGTGAAACACAAACATGGAACTCCACTCAGCCCTGTGACCGAACATAATCCAAACCCTCTTTGCCTGGCAATCGAGGTGTGAAGGACAACGGCTGTAAATAAGAGGAAAGTTGAGGGAGGGAGGGAGGGGGGTGAGCATTCTGAATTGTTGCCACTAATATTCCTCCTCCTAGCCTCCACCAGTGCCCCAGGAATCCCCGGCCCACTGGAGATAAATAGTCATGTCAATGACACCTGAAATTAAGGGGGTGGGGCTTCTGAAATGAGATTCCTTTCTTGCTCATTCGCTGTCAGAGGTGTTAGAGGGGAGATTTGCTCGGGCTATAAAGAGCGTGCATCGTTTTGAAAGGTCTCTGCAGATGGTCTTTCCACCTTTTCTCATCCGTGTCCACAACCTTTTTGAAATTTCACTCCACGTCTCGGGACGCGGGCGGACTTTGACCAGTGTGACATCAAGTGCAGAAGTCTGACCATGCCTGGGGTGAACCTGGACTTCCTCCCAGCCTCGCAGGCTCCGGAGGCTTTGGGCAGTCCAGATAGCGTTTGTGCGGAATCGGGCTTGGAGGAGGTGATTGGGAATCTGCTGGCTCGGGCGGAGGCAGAGAATGAAGAGGAGCAGTTTTGCAGGAGTACGTTTGAATCAACGTTACAGTGTGCCGTGGGGGGGATTCACAGTGACCTGCAGGCCTTTGGGAAGCGAGTGAACGCTCGTCTGGAGGAGGCCGGGGCTCAGGTGGCTCCTCTGGCCGAGGTTGTTGCCGGGCTGCAGGAGGAGAACCGTAGGCTGAGGATTCAGCAAGAAAGGCTGGTGAAGCAGGTGGAGGCCCTGTGCCGGGTGATGGGGTTAAATGATGCCTTGCTGCATGTACTCCCCAGCAAAGACGGCTCACCCACAAGCCCGTGTGAAAACCAAACCTCACCCAGTGATTTTCCAACACCGAGCAGTGATTCTGCGGCCACTACTTCCTCCTACGGTCCCCAAGATTCTCTGTCCAGTGCGACCCAGGACCCTCCAGCTAATACTCCTCTGGATACTCCATCAAGCGTGCTGCAGGAGCCTCCATCGTGCCTCTCGGACTCAGACTCTCCATCGACCGGGACAGGCCCACCTCAGAATTTGGAGGCTTCACCTGTCTCCCACCCCCCCACCTTTGCAGCCCACCGATCCCTTTCTGCTCCCTCTCTAATGGCAAACTCTTCTTCCAACAACAGCACGGTACATGTCCATCCCAATGTTGACAGTACATGTGGGTCAGCTGATCATACGTGCTTCTACTTGGCACACATAGTTGTTGACCTGCTGTTTCATCGTCCATAGATCTCTTTTTGGTTTTAATTGTATGTTCGATCATCACTTCCTTTTAGAAAAAGATTGACCCTCTCAGCTGTCAGTGATCAGTTTGTTAATGTGGGTGGATTTCACTGTCATGGACTTATTCCAATCCTCCAACTTCTGCTTTAACAGTAACGTTGGACCTGCCCTGTAGTTTGGTTGGTTAACTCTCCTTTTTAGCCTTGTTTGCATTACGTAATCCCTGTGTGTGGCAGTTTGCAGGGGTGGCATTTTGAGGGACAGTATATGCGTCATTATCTTGTTATACAACCAATCAGTGTTCATCTGTCTAATTCTTCAAAGGCAGATGGACGTGCCAGTCAACCAGTAAAGGTGATGGCCTTAAATGTTACTCGATTGTGATATTGAGGGGTGAACTTAACTGTTTTTCTTTTATTTCCCCCCAATGCAGTTGTAAAATATCCAAGCTTAGCTTTTCAAAACTCAACTGGTTAGGACCGTATTGACATTAATGAGGAATCAAAAAGCTTTTTTACAGAAAGATTTTAGCTAATGGAGGAAAAACAAGACAAAAAGATCCTTTGCATGTTGCAGTTACTCAGATGCTGAGAAGAATCCTAAACCAAATTGAGCAACTTTAGGTTCTCGGATATTGGATTTTCTCACCCCACTCACGTTCGCTCATTGCCTGAATCCGAGCCTTTGTTTGGGACATGTTGTGTCCGACAGACACTCATTGTGGGTCAAGTGTCACTCGGTCCAGGAAAGTCTTAAAACCAGTGTGGCTGCACCGGGCACTGCCCCTCCCCGGGGAGAGCTGGTCCGACGGGGGCCCGGGTGGGAACGGAGCCAGCTGCCTGAGCTAAATCTGGACCTGGACTCGGTTTACAACAAAAGCATTAAAGCCACAGCGAGCGTTCAAAGACTCCCGCATGGGGGGGGGACATTTGGGGAGAGGGCTTCTCTGTGGGGAGTATGGTCACGTCAAAGATTCTGGTAGAAACAACCTATAATGTTATCATTGTTTCTCTACTTCCTCCTCAGCATCACTCCCTCCGATGTGTATATACAATTTCTTCAGAGTTTATATCCGCTAATGCATTGTTCAAATCCTTCAGCCATAATATTGTACGGTTCTTGTCACTTAAACTTTTGCTTCAGAGCAGCCCGGTATCATTTGGACCCTCAGTGTGTTGGTCCCACTCAAAATAACTACGTTCACAGTAACTTGGCAGCGTTGCGCCTGCTCTCATGTGCTTACTGTCACCCTCTCTGGCATGACTGTAAGGTGGAGGGGATAGAAGAAATGACCAGATGTGGTGAGCTGGCAGACTTGTTACAAAAAGGGGTCGTTCGAGGCAGCCTGCTTTGCCCTCCCTGGCCTATTATGGCTGCATTGGTGATTGTATCCTAAATGTTAGCGAGCTTCTATAAGTGAATTCAGACGACGAATCTAATGAATGCAACCACCATTTTTGCGTGTCTGCGTGTATGTGCTGTTGCTCACCCGTGTGTGTTTGCGGTGTGGCTCCTGTGCAGATGGAGAGGGAGCACGTTGTGGCCCCTGAGCCGGTGTTTTCAGCGGGGCCGTCCGCGCAGCTGGCATCTCACATCCCGGCCGTCCCCAACGGCTCCGGCGCTCCGGCCAAACCAAGCGAGCGCTGCGGAAAGCTGACTGCCGAACAGCTGGCCGCCATTGAGGACGAAGAGCTCCTTGACAAAATGGTACTTAACACCCGAGTCATAATTCAGCATGATTTAGAGTGGAAAGCAATATTCAGCCTCGCAGTCATGCAGAAAGTTTGTGTATTAACACTAAATGACGCCAGCTATGTGAGGACATATTTGGATGTCCCAGCCTGGTATTGTGTATATGCACCATGCCATCTTAGAGCTGCATGCATAAATAGAGCCATGCTACTTTGGCTTTTGGTGAGGAATGACCTCATTGTTTCCTTCCACAGCTTGACGAGTCAAAAGACTTTGAGGAGAGGAAGATGATCCGTGCGGCCATGAGAGACCTTCGAAAGAGAAAGAGAGGTGACCGAGCAAAGCAATGCGAACTCTGATCTGCTACTGAAACCACGTGAACATGACACCTGCCTCCTTATGAACAAGCGTGATCATTTTATTATGCACCTACAATTTCTGTATGATTTCTATCCATTCTGCACTCAGAGGCGATGCTGGGATGCACTCAAGAGGAAATAGGTAGGGCAGGTTGGAGTGCAGTGTGCAATGGATTTTGCCTGCTTTTGTGTCGCTGTGTGCACCATCCAGACATCGACAGGCAACAACATTTGATCTCTCGTGCGTCTGTGGTTGATGACGCAGGCCGTATTTGTCGTCAGCTATTAACGTGCATGAACCGTGGTTTCACGCTCACCTCCGTATGCTGCAACGTTTTACCACAGTATTCTGTTTGCAGTCAGCACTCACCATTTGATTTTCACCGGTCATCTTGTTGTATTGAACCACAACCATAATTTCTTAATCAGCGGAAATGTGCATACAAACGACAAAAAACATTCTAAATAGTCAAATACATATTTTATGTAGAGTACGCTGCATAGTATGTTCAAAAATGTTATCAGGGAAAAGCCGGAGTAAAGACTGCAGGTTGTCCGGTACCAATATGCTTGACATTGCTGAACTTGGCACGGGGAGAAGATCAGACTGTCTTTGTTCTGCAATGTTTGTGCACTCCATATTCCCTGACAGCTTTGGCTTGGCTACTGCCTCCCACCTGTGGCCGTTTGTGTGTTCAAAGGAATTGTACGGTGCTGTGGAAAGATCTCCGCAAATTTAGAAGCCCTGTTTTAATCCATCTTTGTGGCAGTCCAATGAGGTGCTGTCGGTTTGTTTAGGACCTTTTGTCCTCTTCCTCCTCCTTTTTTTCCACTGACATCATCGCCACCTCTCCGTCCCCTCTCTCCTGTCCTCTCCGCCAACACAGACCAGAGAGAGAAGGAGCGCGAGACTCGTCTGCAGGAGCTCCGGCAGCAGAAAGAAGAGCGAGCACAGAAAGGCCGCGCTGGGGTCGGAGCAGGAGAGGTGGTGATGCGGAAGGTGGAGAAGTCGGCGGATGGCTCCAGCCTCAGCCAAGTCACCAAGACAGACCGCTTCGCTTCATCTGGTAGTTTTCTTATCTTTTCCTTTGCACTACTGGACCTTCTTTGAGCCTTTTTTAACCACTCCAGTCAGAAAAGACGTGACTATTATTTCTCCATTGCAGTAGAAAAAAGATAACGATAAAAACGGAAGAGAAAGTTGAGAAATTAAACTTAGTCATGAAATGTATTTCAAAATATGTTTGTAATTTAAAGTGTGCGTTTGTGGTTTTAGATGATGGGAGCAAATCAACACGCAGCACTGTCTTCGAGGCCAGTTATGTGAAGAAAACTGACAGTGAGTCACTCCTATATTTGGCTCTCTGGATCTCTACAGGTATGACCGTCATTTCACCAATGTCATTTGTACGTCTGTGTTTTTCTTGTTTTTATCTCAGGAGGGACCGTTCAATCCAAATCATACAGCTTTAGCTCTTCCACATCGTCATCTTCCACATCGTCCTCCTCCAACACAAGCAGGAAAGTGGGCAGGTAGGTCACCAAATCACGATGGCCGGAAATACACTCATTTCAGAATCCCTGTGGGGTCACGGACTAACTCGCCGTACGTGTCCCAGCGTCTTTGACCGCGAGGATGACACGTCGTCGCGCAGCGGCAGCGGCGGGTTGGCCGCGGTGGAGCGAAAGCAGGCAGAGAGGCGCAAGGAGCTGATGAGGGCTCAGACGCTGCCGAAGACCTCGGCGATGCAGGCCCGCAAAGCCATGATAGAGAAGCTGGAGAAGGAGGGAGGCGGGTGAGGATAAACGGAGGGGGTGTTACTACCAAAGAAAGAAATTGTATAAATATTAACACTAACCGGACTTTTCTCTCAGCCCTGGGAATCAGGCGGTTGCCAAGGTAAACAAGGTCCAGCGCTCCACCAGCTTCGGCGTACCCAACGCAAACTCCATCAAGCAGATGCTGCTCGACTGGTGCCGCGCCAAGACCCGCTCGTATGAGGTGAGCCGAGCAGCCGTGGCGACCAGCTGAGGTGATATTACTTCCATCACGTATCTTTCAATGCCTCTGTGTGTCTGTCTTCTTCCTCAGCACGTAGATATTCAGAACTTTTCATCCAGCTGGAGCAACGGCATGGCATTTTGTGCCCTGGTGCACAATTTTTTCCCCGAATCCTTCGACTACGACTCCCTGAGCCCCAGCAACCGCAGGCAGAACTTTGAGGTGGCCTTCAGCACTGCAGAGTGAGTACACATCCAACAACCCCGTTGGTCCCAGTAAGCGTCACACTAACCACATCAGTGCTGCCATTGTTTGTCAGTTTCGAGTGCAAGTGAGGGTGTCAACCAACTTTGTTGGAGAAGCAGCGTGAACTGCGATCAACCTTTGTTTTAGTTTTTGCTCGTTGGAGAAAATGCAACGAATGTCAAGGGGAAACCAGCTGCAGAAGCCACTTCAGGCTCACCTTTCCTCGGAAGCTGAAAACAATCAGAGCAAGTTTTCCCAAACCAAAAAATATGCACAGACTCTTCCACAGCCGTCTCTTTTGTTTCTCTGTAAAGCATCACGCGTAGTTTATATTCAGTCTTGCTCTTCGCCGACATCAGCTTGAGCCTGAAGAACCGAGACGGACCGAGGAGACGTAAAGGCTCCACGACTGCTAACATTCCCTGTCTCTCCCAGGTGTATCGAACCCCCTCAAGGCGTCTACTTTAATTACTCCACCTCTGAAACTCCACTCTCCATCTGTCCTCTGCTCTGAGTAACTGCTGTGACACCCTCCGTCTGCTCTGAACCAGAGACCCGTGAGCAAACCGTCCCCAAACAGAACCAGGTTAAAGCAACAAAAAGGACGAGCTCTGCCCTTTTTACTCCCAATCTTTCTCCTCGCCCTCTCTCTTTCTCAGCCCTCTTGCATCACACCGTTCACACATGTGATGCCACCAACCACATGTATGTGTGTGTTCTCACATGTTCCCAATATGACCCTGTCCATGCTGATGTTGACGTTATTCATGCTCTCAACACTGGAGTGTCACCCAACCACAGCCCCTAAACTTCTCACCTTCTGCGTTTCACTGTCTCTCACCTCCACCGGGCACTTCCAGCAGTTTGCTCTTATCTGGAATCCCAACACACACACACACACGCGCACACGCACTGTCACACACACTCCATCTTGTGCACTGGTATGTTTTTTTTTAGATTCACCAGTAGTTGTTTTGTTTTTTTCCCTGAATCCTTGTTGTTTTTTTCATCGTGTCGTACGTTTCTGACGGAACTCGTATTGAAAAGGTCAAAACCCACACGGAAAAAAACAACAACACACAAGAAGGCTAAATGAGCTCATTTGACCTTTTGTTTTGTCTTATGTTTCTGTTTGTGTGCGTGTTTGTTTGCCACATGCTGTAAGTATCATGATGTTCATGAAGCATGTCAACTCATGGATATATTTGTGACCACAGAGAATGTAATGTTGTTGTTGTTTTTGTGTCATTTCTCTCTCCCTTGTCTTTTCACCCTGAATCTTTTTGGTTTGGCTGCTCACTGCTTTGTCTTTGCTCTTTTTTTCCCCTCCTTCCTCTCTTTTCCCACACTTTGTCCACTGTCTCTTTTCTTCTTCCTCTCTCTATCTCTCTCTCTTTCTCGTCTGTTTTTCACCCTTCTTCTCCTCCTCTTCTTTGAATCCATCTCTTTGGGTCTCCCATTACTTTCCTTCCTCGCCCCCACCCTCCTCCTCCCTCCCTGCCGGGTGTGGGCACAGGAAACTAGTGGACTGTCCCCAGCTGTTGGATGTGGACGACATGGTGAAGATGCGTGAGCCGGATTGGAAGTGTGTGTATACGTACCTGCAGGAGTTCTACAGGGGTCTGGCGACGAAGGGCCTGGTTAAAACCAAAAACTCCTCCTAGAGTCGCACTGAACCCATGGTGAGAGAGGGGCAAACCTACGAAAGAACCTCTCTTCGGTTCTGAGAGAGGGGATGGAGGGAGTGTGTATAAGTCTGTGTGTGTGTGTGTGTGTGTGTGTGTGTGTGTGTGTGTGTGTGTGTGTGTGTGTGTGTGTGTGTGTGTGTGTGTGTGTGTGTGTGTGTGTGTGTGTGTGTGTGTGTGTAACTGGATGTTTTAAGCAGGCTGTTAGGATTTCAATCGAAAATGAGGGTTCAGAAAACTCTTTTATTGCCACTTTGGATATTTTATCCTCCATGCAAATCTGAAGCTACCGAGGTGCAGAGCACCAAACATGGTATGCGCGTGTGTTTGTGTGGGTCCATGTGTGCATTTCTGCAAAGTCAGGCTATGGCCCAGGCAGAGGGCCAGGACCATCTGCAGCTCCACACTTTAAAAGGAACTGCTGCATCACAATGCTTCAAACAAAGAAGTCCAGAAACAAAGCAGTGAACTGAGAGGCCGGGTTGCCCTCTGACGTTTATCAAGTGTGAATTTACTGCTGTTTGTGCTTGTAAAGCCTTTTTAAAGACACTGGTGAAGTACAGGATGATCCCATCTCTATAGTTCCTTTAAATAACAAAACCAGATTTATGTTGACATTTATTTTCTCATCCCCCTTGTGCTGTTCCTATCACATGTCTACACTTTGTCTGCTTAGGTTTTACAGTGCGTGTAGATATGACGCCACCATGTGGTCGCTCCCTGCATCGCGCTCCTCTGAGCTCTTTGTTCTTCACTCTGTTGATGGAAACATCCGGCATTAGTGGAGTTTATTTATAGAGCTTAAAGAGGGAATTCTCCCCGTGAGAGAAAAAACAGAGACAAATATGGATAAAGAAATGAAGAAAAGTAGAGCGTCACTACAACAAGGATGGAAGCTGTGCGTGTGTCAGTGTGTGTGGTTGTTGATTGGAAGAGAATATCGTCCTCTCTGATCCTGGACCATCCTGTCTGTCCATCCTCTTTCTCACACACACCGTCTCTTGCATGCTGTTCCTCAGGACCTGCGCCAACTGCATGCCTCTGCTGGAAGTGGAGGACATGATGATCATGGGTAACAAACCCGACTCCAAATGCGTCTTCACCTACGTGCAGTCTCTGGTCAACCACCTGCGCAGATATGAGATGTCCATGGGTCGTCCCTGTGACCTTTTGACCTGTGCTCAGTGAGTGAGCCTCGATGTGGCGTCACCCCCCCCCCCTCGCTTCACAGGCCCTGACCCCCCTCAGCTCCATCTTTACCTGATGGCTGCCTCCGCTCTGACAGGCTGCGTCACAAAGCTGCTCATCTCCGATGGACTAGATGGGTGTGTGCGCGTGTGTGTGTGTCATTTTGCTTATTCTCTTGGTTGGCGGGGTTGATGTGTATTATTTCATTAACAATAAGTCCACTTCTCTGCAGCACAAGAGCACCAAAGTTTTTATAAGACCACCTTTTTAAAATTCAAAATTTTACATTATTGATTTGTATTTAGCTTTGTACAAGGTCATATTTAACATGCAGTAGCTAAAGGTGTAAAAAAAAAAAAAAAATACGAGAAAGGAAAATAAAATAAATTTGTAGCATTTCTCCTTTTAACTTTATTTGTACCTTTTTTATTTTCCCGTCTACACTTCTGTCGGTAAATCCACAGAAAGCATAAACCAAACCAAATGGTGCAGTATTTTTGTTTTGGTACTTTGGAACTTTTACCAAATTTGGGCTGCTTGAAATATTTGAATTAAGTTATTACTATTCTCATGTTGATGTAAACAATGTTCATATCACTATTTAATACACGATCAAAGAGCTGTTCTTTTGTCAATTGTTTGGATTATGTTCTGAACTCTACAGTGCTACTGACATGTTTCAACTGTTTTTGAATATTGTATCACTTTGTCAAAATGCTTGCAGTCAAACATATGCTCCATTCACGCAAAAAGCAAACGAGAGGAGTGTGTAGTAGTCTGAGACCTTACAGCTGACGTGACCATGACTTGAGCCTTGACAGAGAGCAGATTTGCAGAAGAAACATCATCCAGCAGCATCACCGACCTGCAAACTCACACACGGCTCTCTTGTAGAGACCTTTTATTTATGCGAGTAGAGTTTTTTTTTAAATGCATTCTGTTAGTGTGTATATTATGCGTTTTAAAAGTTTTGTTTAAAGTGTGTCAATAAGCTCAAGATATCACCTCGTTTTGTGAAACTAATTATGGTCACTTTTTAGACATTAAGGGGCCTGATGAAAGTCTGCTTTCTGTTTGTACGTGAGCAATCATGACCGGACAGAACTGCAAATTGTATATTTTACAACATAAAGCTAATGAAAATTTTTGAACAAAGATTTCTATTCCGCTTAAGTAGATTAAGAGAATTCAATTATTCCAATGCTGCCAACTAAAAGAAACCAATACCTTCCACAAGGCAGTGAAAGCTGTAAATTGGAGCTTGAACACGTTATAACTTCATGTTTCTGTGCACCACAGTTAAATGTGAATTGAAATTAAACCAAATTGAGAATGAATACGTTTGTAATTATTGCTCTAAATTGTCTCATAATAACATCCTGATGAGTGTTTAACATGCTTTCATTCATTCTCGTACACTATTCCTCCACACTTTGAAGGGCACAGACTGTTCAGATCAACGAGTACAGGCAATATTCATTTTCTGAACATTTTATTATTTTCCTGCTCTTCATTCCTCTGGTGTGCATCAGTCAAACCCACCAGAACGTGTAGCATCAGCCTCAGGCCAGTCAGACAGTTTTCAGCCTGAGGCTTCATTCAGTTTCCCAGTAGGTAGAAAGCAATCGGACACACAAGGGGAAGACAAGAAGGCAAATATTTGAAGAACATTGACACGCAATGTACCAAAAAACTAAATAAAACACTTCCAGTTGGTGTACAGAGTAAAAAAAGCACTCGAAGCAAACTGTTGGGCTATTATTGCTACTAAATTAAGATCAAACAGAACAATGTGTGCAAATTAAGACTGGATCTTTTGGAGGCCTTTTGCCAAAGCGGAGAAAGTGACCACGCTCAAATGCGAGTCTTATTTTGAAATGGCAAGTATTTCTTTCATTAAGTACATTAACCAGCTGGACGTGGATCGGCTTAGCGGTACTGTGGGAATTTCACTCCCCACCACTACGACAGGTTACAGGTCAGTGTGCGTGGCGTCTGCTCCGGGCTTTGAGGAGGCGTTGTCTGTGGCGAGAGAGGCTACGGAGGACTTGTAGGGCCGCTCGTCTTTAAACGGGCTGTCTTTGGCTGGAGAGAAGCGGAACTCCTCCGGCACCTCGTCCTCTGGCTTGGCCTTCTTGTAGAAGCCCAATTCGCCCAGCAGCCCGTTGATCTCGGAGCGACTCATGCCAGCCAGGGGGAGCCGCTGTGGAAGGAAGTCACGTCTTAAATTCAAGTTTCAGGTTAAATGCGCTTTTCGGTCACTGTGGTCGGCGACCTGAAGTGTCCCGGCACACAGGACTGAACGCTAGATGTTAGTCTGAATGTGTCTGCTGTTGAGGGTTTAGGTTGGTGTAAATTCTGCCCCCAAGTGGCCAGAAATAAAAGCTCAATGCAGCGATACATTTTAGCTTAATGTCTTAATTCCACTTCTGGATAGAGAGAAATGAAGCAGAATTTACAGATTGACAATAATTGGTGTAGAAGATCTAAACCCCCAAAGAGAATGAAAAAAATCACATACCTGACATCACAATTGTCCGTATGCTGTGATCCCATTTAAAGTGTACATATAGAGGCTTTTAAATATTTCCCGTTGCCACACAATGCAAATATAAAATATGCTGCAAAAGAAAAACTTACATCCAGCTCTTCATAATAGTGGTTCAGGAGGACAAGCTCGGGGTCGGCCCCAGGAACGTGTTTCATCACCAGGTTGTGGCTGAGGGAGGGATGGTTAAAGATTGCCGCAGAGACTTCAGAGTGCACTTTTTGCTGTGTGCAATTCATAAACCGACATACAGGAACAAGTAACAGCAGAGTACTTTAGGCAAAGGATACTAAAGAGGAATGTCCTGGACCACAAAGGCTTTGACCTGGAGACGGAAGTGGATTAGTGCTTTTCACTCAGAGATAGTTTTGGTTACGGATCTGGATTAGTTGAAACTCTAGATGCAAAATGTCTACACCATAAAACAGCGGCTGAGGCTTCAGTCGGCATCTGCTCTTTAACAGTGTGCACTTGTTGACCACATGCCAGGTAACTCACCTCTATGAGCCTGTTCAGCTGTCATCCACCACACGTCTGGAAAGAAACACAACATCAGGTACACAAAATGTTTACATGCAGCTCTCATACTACAGAGAAACTTGGATATGACCTGATTTAAGTGTTCACAATGCATCCAGATTTAAAATAGGTGATGCCTGCCTCACCCATTTGAAAAGAAAAGAAAAATCTGGGCCGCAGGTGTTGAGTTTCAGCAGGTGTGTCTAACCCAACAACGGCAACAATAGCAGCAGATTGCGCGCGGTTCTCGGGTGACGCGGGCCGGGTGGTGATGTGGTGACACCCCGGGGGACCGCGCATGCTTTCCCGCAGTGAGAGGTGTTGAGTTTTACAAACTTTTGTGCAGGAATCAGACTTCCGCATCCACACCCTCACGGTTCATTCCCAGGTCATTTACAGCAACACCCTAAATCCCTGTTATCAATTCGATCGTTATGACAAAATAATCTATATTTTGTTGTCTGAAGAGCATAAGTAACCGGGCTGCAGCCTGCAGAGCTCATCCGCACGCATGCGCAAATCACGGAAAAGTGAGGCAACGCATTTAGCAACACATTAATAACACAACCCGAGCTAACTGAAATGAATATGTCACAGCCTCACTGTAAATACAAACAGCCTCGCATGCAGCCCGGCGTCATGGAAGGTGTGTGTGGGGGGGTCACCGTACCTCCACTCTCGCTTTGGCCAGCCCGTCCAGGTTCTTCAGCTCCGCAGCGTGAGCCGAGCTGCGCTGAAGCAGCGCGGCCACCACGATCAGCCACATGGCTCCGGCACCGGTTCCTGCGGGTGTCTGGAGGAGAGCACACGCGACTCAGAAGAGGAGCAGGGATGATGTGTGCAGCTCGTCCGTTACGTCCCGACCTCCTGCCACGTCGAGAGCCAGAGGAGGAGGGGAGGAGGGGGAGAGGAGGGAGAGAGAGAGAGGCGTGCAGGGCGCTCATTGGTTATCGGCGAGATCCCTTTTTAGATACAATCCAATACATTGCAAATGCATTCTTTGCATTAATCATTGGAAATGTAAGACATCCCAAGAAAACATACACAAGCTCATATAATGTCGAACTATTTTCCGTTATTTATTTGAAGGCGGAAGACGGCACGTGGGCTCTTTTGTATCCAGAAACCATGATTATAGCTGCGGAAGTAAATACATTACAAGAAATATTCATTATGGGGAGTTCGTCACTCGTCTTTATGACACTGACACACTGGAGAGAAACTCCTTACAAAGTGAGTGTTCTTACACGTTGGAAGAGTTACAGATGATTGATTTCATCAGTAGAAGGCTAAATGTTATGCCTAAAACATGGAGCCTGAGCTGAATGGACATAAGTTGATAATATTTGCGTGTCTCTGTGTCTTTCTCACATTGTTGACCATTTCTCATACATGATACATGATCATATCCAATTCATATACGGTTAGTTTGAACAGGAAACACCTCACTGCAGGGTATTGCATCCACGCTATGGTTATTGTAAAAGTGTTGGTTCAGTTTGTTGTCAGCTCCTTTGCAGAACGCAGCTACATCACGTGTAAGACATATATTTTTACTATCATTACATTACATGACATGTCATTTAGCTGACGCTTTTATCCAAAGCGACTTACATTGCATTTGTAACCCCTGGTTACAGGAGTGGAGGAGGAGTAGTGTGCAGGCGTAAGGGCTGCCCGGGGAGCGGTTAGTCAGACATCAACATCTGAGGATAAAAGCCTTGAACAACTGGGAAACAAGATACTGTCGTGTGTGCATGTGACCTCTTTGAACAAAGGTCATGGATTAGGTGCACGCGCAAAAGTATCAGATGTATACTTGCCATACTGGTACTTGGGCTCAGGTATCAGCCAATACCAACACCCTTGTTTATAAGCTGTTTGCTTGGTAACATTATGTCAAGTGTAAGGAAACATGAGGCTGACTTAAAGATTGCTTTCTGACATTTGCAAAACAAAATTCTAACAATAAAAAATGTCCTGCATCTACTATTTATGAAAATTGTCACTGATACCTATTTGACTCATAATCGGACTTACATGCAACATCAGTATCAGTATTGGTGCATCTCAAGGGTTATTATGTTACATATGTCCCATATTAAAAGTATTGAAATACATAGTATGACATTGATAATGAAAGAACAAAAACAATGTCGATTTCATCAGCTGAATCAACTGAAGTGAGCCCTCATAAAGTAACCCCTGACAAGTATCTTAACAGTACAAATTCCTGCCAAGACGACCTGTTTGTGTACCTTTTGATAGTTACTTTTACCACTTAAACCATAAAACGGACACGGACGGGGGGGGGGGGGCTGTCCACCAACACAAGTTCTCTCAGCAGTTTAAAGATGACGCTCAGAAGCAGGTGTTTCTAGTGAGTTAGAAGCCACTGCTCGTTATTAAGCCAAACACTTCTCCCTTCCAACCGCTAGGCGTCAGTAGAGCGTCATCATAGACTTTGACTACATAGAACGGCTTTTTGTTTTTTGAATTACCACTGTACAGTTAAAAGGCCATTTGGCATGCGCACGTCCATAGGCGGACGGCCCGTCGGTGTTTTCGGTGTTACGTAAGCCGATGTCGAGCGGAAGTCATGTTTGTGTAATTGCCATGACGTTTCCTGTCTGCGTGCTTTAGCTCTGTGCGCTTCACGCGCAGTGTAATCATCACCCACCGCCTCGCTCTCTCTCTCTCTCGCTCTCTCTCCCTCTCTCTCTCTCTCTCTCTCTCTCTCTCTCTCTCTCTCTCGCTCTCTCTCTCTCTCGCTCTCTCTCTGTCGGTGCCGGATGATTTGGTTTTAATTTGAAGGGCACCGGGAAGGCGCAGCCCGGGTCTTTAAAGCCAGGAGGGACGTGGCGTGTTTATGAGATGTAGCTTCACCGGCATCGCTTTCCAAACCCACCTGTCACCTCCCTGCTTAGGACGGAAAGAAGGACGGAAGGAAGGAAGGAAGGACGGAAGGAAGGCGGGAAGGCAGGAAGGAAGGAAGGCAGGCGGCTGGCATGCCGATGGTTTCATCTTCGAGGGCGACTGGAAGGGAAAGTTCAGCCTGTTTTCGGTCAACGATTCACTCCTTCTCGTGATTCCCGTAATTTCACAACCTCCGCCGAGGCACCGCTTCATCTGTAGACACATTTTACCCGAAATCCATCAGCTGTTTCAAACCATCAACGCGCAGGAACACAAACAGGTAAAAGGTGATGACAAATCAGCTGTTTGTTGTGTTATTGTGCTGTTACTCACGAGTGGACAGAAGAAACACACACAGGGGACATTTGTTGTTCTCCATGGTATCATCTTGACATCACCTGTAAATAGACCTCTAGTTGTGTCTGCGTGAGAAGTGATAGTGGCGCTGTGTCTATTCATACACGGTACGGCATTTGTTTGCAAAGCAACACCGTGATGATTAACAATGAACCAATCATCATTCTCACATTCCCCACGCGAGAGAATCATAATCAGGCAGACGTTTGTGGTTTTCTTCCCTCATCCAATGCAAATATACACACAAATGCATGCACACACACGCACCTGTGTGTCTGAGTTAATATTTGATGGCAAAACACTGAAATACAATGACCTTCATCCCTTTTGTCAGCCAGATGAATATTGTCCTTGAAGCAGGAGTGTAATGAGGCCAGATACTGTATTTGTGTGCTGCTGTTCAGTGGAGCCAGCAGTCATTTCTGTGTCATATATATAAACATGAATATCTACCATTGGCCAAATGCCACGAGTGTGGACTTCAGTTCCAGTGTTTACATAACAGAGTATAGAAATCAAACACAACTTGGTAGTCAAAAACTCTACTTGTCGACTGTAATTGTAATCTAAGTGTTTTATGATCCACTGGATCACTTACAGTGTAGTATTCAGATGGCCGTTACATGCAACCGTGTACTGTAATGCGATTGATGCACTGCTAGAGGATTAAGCTGCAAACATAGCCATCTGTAGCCAAATTGAATTTCAAAAGGCTCTATTAGATTTGACTTCAAATTCACTGATAATAACTCACCTAACAGGTTCGCTCAGCGGAACGGAAAAGAAAGAAGCTGCAGTTCTGTATTCTTCTTTTAAATCCACTAACTGAACAGGAAGGAACATGCAGGCAATGACTTTTACTGCACATGCAGATGTTATTGCACATAGCCGTGGCCTTTTTCACGTGCCAAGCACAGTGGATTTATTTTTATCTTTCCTAATGATTTTTTTTTGTCACACTTGATTGCATAGCCAAATTCCTTCACAGACAGATTATGTTGGACTCAATGAAAATCTTTACCCCATTTACTCCACATTGTGCAATGCATGCACACACAGCAATTACTTGGTGAACCGGGTGCAGCTTGACGTGGTGATTATTTTCCTTTTAAAGAGGGCCTTTTAGGCTAAATGAAGCCAACGTGAATGTTTCCATTTGGCTGGCTTCCATAATTGTTAATTGGCACAATCTGAAATGTCTATTTACGACACAAATGTTTGCTGTGCGGACATTCAGCTCTATGTTGTCAGCACATGTCTGCAGTGTTCAAATGTAAACAGAATACTTTTGACAACCTGCAGCCTAGGCTGTGACCTAATCACAAAGATGAGGCCCCCTGGATGCAGGAGAGGGAATATAAGTGGCACTAGGACCCAGGGGAGCCTTTTACAGCTGTGGCAGCAGCTGCAGGAGTCATTTCGGCCCAGGTCACCATTAGTGTCCCTGTCACAGGGGCATATGGCCCCCGGAGGCCCCGAACACCAACACCCTGCTTGCCTGTAACAACAACATTGAACGTGCAAAGTGTAGTCAACATTTTGGTTGGAATGACGCTAGTGCAGCCGTGCAGAGCAGGGGGAGTGAAATCTAAGGGAGGGTATAGATTACTCTCTTTAAATAGAAACAACGGAAATATGGCTTCCCATCACTCAACAGACTCGGTCATCCAAAACTATCTGTGTTGTTAAATAATCCCTTTAAGAAGCCTGGAAGGAGGCTGCTGTCTGTTGCATTGCATCCCTCCTGGTTCTCTGAGCTTACTCCCCCTCGGGAGGGTGCGTGTAAACACCGTGCCACATTGGTTATCAAATCATTCCACCCTCTCGTTGTGAACGTGAGCGGAATAAGAAGTGATATCTGACGACATAGTTCCCGGAGAAAAAAAAATACTGGAAAGAAAGTTGCAAAATGTTTGATAGGAGAACTGCATCGTAGTTTTTAGCACGCAGTATGTCTGAATTTCCTTTTTCTAAATAAACAATTTAGTATGAATGACCCTAAAAACACATACTGGACCATCTTCCTCATACATGGTTTGAACATGTTCTGAGCCAACGGTTATCTCCCTATGTTCCCCCGAGCCACTGAATGTGATAACGTCCAGTTGTTGCGGCGTACTGCAGCGCCTCGACGTTACAGCGACTGGGAGGTGTTTGGCTGAAGGAAACAATGCAGAGAATGTCGCTGGAGGAGCCCAAGTGTCCCCTCAGAGCACAGTGGGTGCAGAAGAGGAAAGGAATGAAAATACTTTAGGCCAGGAATAGCGTTGGCGCTCGTCTTGGTGTGAAAGGAAAAATATAGGATGTGAAAAATCAAATCGGTGGGATGAGCGAATCAATGGCTGTGCAAGGAAGGTGGGTGAGATGGAACAATAGCATCTTGGAGGGGATGGGGAGAGAAAAAGGATTAGAGAAACGGGACGATAAGAGAGAGAGGAGAGGAGAGGAGGGGGGGGATTAAGGCTGGAAAATTAGATAGTGCCAGAGGGAAGTGTGAGAGGATCAATGTGGAGACACTCGGTGAAGAGACACAGTGCTGTCACTGAATGGGCTGTCTCGCTCACCTCTCCCTCTCGATTCCCTCAACTCGTTTTGCACCCACCCACTCCCACGTGTGCCCCCTCCCCACTAAATGCCATACATGGACCATATGAATACATTACGCCCAGCGAGGCGCCCGGCTATTGGTGGACCGAAAGACCAGCGTGTCTCTGGGCACATGTAGAGTACCGAGGCAGCCCGCCTCTCGGCATGTAAGTCATGACCTCCGTCTCTTCAAGGTCGTGTGAATAATTATGAGAGGGCTCTGTTGTTTCTCCGTCCCCAAGCGGAAAATCCTGCGTCGCCATTGGACAAAAGTACACCCTTTTTAAAAGTAGAGGACAGCGTTTGAAGCATGTAGAGCGTATAATGGCTTCCGTGATTTGACTGTGCTGCCATAATAACGAACGCGTCCTCTCGCACTCATAAAGGACTCAGACATTTTATGGTGCCTTATCGTGTGTTGCACTTTTATTACTCCGAGCTGATGGATCTGGGTCGGTCTGCCACAGTTTTTATTCAAATCAGCTATTCTCAGGATCACTCATGTCCACAAGCACAAGGACATGTCCCCTTCTACTCTACGTGGCATTTTCTGTGTTTTAAGGATTCAACATCCAAACGATTTTTATATAATTGTTGATGATATAATGTGTGGACTACAGTTTCCTTAATATATTTCTTCTTCAGACCAGAATTAAAAGACATTTTTTACACTTTAATATCATCAATTACATTTTAAAGCTTTTGAAAAACAGGAGTGCATAAATTTATATTTTGTCCCATTAACCAGCAGTCGATAAAGGCCATTTATTCTTGCCATAATTGGATGGATTGTTACTCCATTATTAATGTCCTCCTGTGCTCTCTGTGTCCGTCTGATCTCTCTGCTGCTCCCTCTTCATGCATTGTCGTTTACTCCATTCCGTTTGTTTGTTTATGCGGGTCTGAGCCATGCAGCATCCCCTCATGTTAGCGTGTGACAGGTGCTCTGAGCTGATATGAACTGACTGAGCATCTCCCTGGTTACTGGACTTGCAGGCGGCTTAGGCACGAGTAGGGACGATGATGTCCAAGCCTGCTTTTATGCAAATCTTCCAACCTAAAGCTCTAAGAGGTTAGGACAGTGGGGGAATACGTCCTTATATCCTTGTCTCTTTCTGATCCTCTCTAGTTTTTTTTTTTTTTGTATATTGTTCTTTCTGATGTCTTCCTCTGTCGGACCATGTGACTGCATGTATCTGTTTTCAAGGCCCTGCTAAGGCAGGTAATTGAAAAGTTGCTATGGTTGGAGCCGGAATGACTCACTCGGTTGCCCTGCTGGGTCAAGATGGTCTCATGACAGTCCCGCACTCATCAGCTGAATTCACTTGTCATTTGTAAAGTAGCCACATGGCTTTCTGTCCAGTGTTTGAAAGGCATATTCGGTCTGTATTGTTTAGAATACACCTTCCTGATTACATGATGTCATCATTTTATGGTCACAGCGACTTTTGCCCTGTTTCTTTGACTATTCTGATGCTAAACAAGATTGTTACCTTCAGAGTTATGTGTTTATTGATGTTCTAGATAGATGACTTAAATAGCTTAAATGATAATGTTGCAAGTTGAAACATTCCTTTTTGGTTTTTTTGCCTCAGCAATCTTAAGAAATGGACCAAGATCCTCCGATCCAAAGCCAGATGCTGGAAGACGACCCAAAGGGAGCAGCAGATGCTTTAACAATGGCCGCAGCTACAGAATCGGACGCAGCGGCTCCAGACCCAGATTCCACTGTCAACCAGCCTGCAGCTTCTGCCAGGCCTCGACGGCCACAGAGAAGTGCCAGAGTGGAGGGCTCTGTGGACATCTCTGAGCCCAAAGCTGAGCCCAAAGCTGAGCCCACTCTTGTGGCAAACCAGGAGGAGTGCGACACCGATGGCCCTGCGGCAAGTCGCCCCAAACCTTCTCGCTCCGCAGCATTCAAACCCACAGGAGAGCGCTCGGGGCCGAGCGCCAAGGCTGGTCCGAAAGGGCCGGGTCACCACCCGGTTAGGGCTGCGTCGGTGCCCCACCCACCTGACAGCAGGCCCGTGGCTCCTCACCTCAACCCTCATGCACAGCGGGCCCTCTCTGTAGCCGGTACCGCGGACACGCAGGCCCAGGTGGTGGAAGACTTCAGGCAAGTGCCCTCATCAGTGTTTGTTCTAATCTGCACGTCTCAGCATGTCTTAACTTCCGCTTTCCACCCAGAACAGCTGAGAAAAAGAAAAAAAAAAGGCTTGCACACGGAATTTATTTGTGTACACTGACAGTCCACGCTGCGGGCCTACGTGATCGTAGTGAACGTGTAGATTGTGGTGACCATAACTATTTGACACTGTTCTTTGTTTCTGTCAGGAAACATTTCCTTATTAAACATGTTCTTTTTTTGTTGTTTATGTTTTAAGAATTCAGAAACCCCACGAGTCTAATTTGATCTCATCTGTACTTTAGGCTGTACTTTATCGTCCAATAATGTAACAGTTCAGGGGCGTTGTTAGGAAACCCTCAAGTACCTTATTGCTTTTATAATACGAGCAAAATTATAAATAGTAAGTAAATAGCTGCCTTTCAGCACAAATTAGCCACCGAATGTTGTATCTCATTTCAGTATTCTAAGCACCATCTCATTCATTCACATCGCTCATGACGTCCACCTTGATTGTTCGGTTGCAGAAGCTCGTGTTGCCCGAAACTGATCATTTGTGGGATTTCTGTTTTTTTTTCGTCGATCGCCACCGAGCAAAAAGCTAAAATGTCAAAATCTAACCTGCTACTTTGAGTGCGGAGTGATATGAAACGCTCGGGTCAATGTGAACAGCAACACTACATTATTGCTCAATAATGCAACCCCCCGTGACTCACTCTCAACCAATCAGAACGCTGGAGTTCATCTACCCGTATTATAATAGATAGTAAATCATTGACATGTTTCACAGTTGCGTTGCAACATAAAAAAAAAACAAAGCGTCAGATGATATTTAATTAATAATTTTGTAAAATAAAAGTGTTTATCAGCTACGTAGCTGTAAATCAGCTACGACACACTGGTGCTGTGTGAAGAGTCTTCTGGAAGTGGCAGTTCAATGATAACACTGTTGAGCGTACTGCTTTTTATAGAGCTTTCCCTAAAAGGCCTATATCCCATCAACTACCATTGGCCTGTAAAAAGAAAATGATCACTTATCATTATCTTTTACTTGATGTTGAAATCATTTTTGACAAACATGGTGTTAACGTGATGTTAACTTCTAGGTGTTGATCGAAGGGTTCAGCTGTCTCACTCAAGGGCCGCAGCTTGTAATCATGAGGCCTGTTGAGAGTTTACGACCTATTGTCTCCAACAGGCTGCACTTCATCACCTGGAACGTGGGTTCAGCCACACCACCTGATGACATCACCTCCTTGCTGGGGCTGAATGTGGGAGATGGAAACACTGACATGTACATCATTGGGTGAGTTTTGTGGCGCATCCAGTGTCTTCCACGTGAAAGCTGAAGCTTCCATCTGTGCACACGTTTAACACGTCGGCACTTAACAAGACTGTCGCTAATGAGCAGTCAGGCTCCGTTCTGAACCCCCGGGACGTCTCTCTCCTGATGGCTACGGGTTCCTTTCATTTATTAACCCACCATTACACTATCAAAGCTTTCCCTTATCAGCTCCTCTTAAATCTCTGTTGGATTTTGACCCCTGTGTGTTGCTGTTTGTCGTTTTCCTTCAAGGCTGCAGGAAGTGAACTCTATGATTAACAAAAGGCTGAAAGACGTCCTCTTCACAGACCAATGGAGCGAGGTCTGCATGGAGAGACTCAGCCCCTTTGGTTATGTGCTGGTCAGTAATGGCTTTTATTATCAACACATATGCACGCGCTCAAACTGGAAGGCAACAGCTTCATACGCATTACGTTATCGCTGATGAGATCTCTGCTCCTCTGCTGCAGCCTCGGCTCATTTTGTTCCCCGAGCTGTGGATGGGTGGATCATTTAAAACAGGCATGTAATGTCAGCTCCCTTCCGTGTGCCTTGAATGCAGACCTGCTCCCCTTTTTCTGCAGCCACTGTGGAAAGGTTGCACACTAGTAAATAAACTGTCTCATGTTGAATAGAATGTAGAAAACACTTCCCAGTACGTATTCCCTGATAATATTCGGGAAGTTCAAACATTTGTTTACTTCCCCATCTAAAACGTTTCTTGTCTGGTGACGGTCTGGTGTGATGGTGCATACCAGCTGAGGTTGGTGTTCGCCCTGCTGCATCTGAAACGCTCCGTGGCTCTGTTGGCATGGTGAGCCAGAGAGTGTGAATCAACTGTCGAGCCAAAAGAGTGCTGTTTTATTTTTGGATGCCGTTGTCGTGAGTGTTGACGTCTCGCTGACAGTGAGCCTGATGCTGTCCCCCAGTTATGTCATGCACCGCTACTATAGCTTAAACCTGGTGAAAATAATTTCCACATGACCTTTTCGTGTACCTTTTCATGTGGGTCTTTATGCTGTGAACAGGTTATGGGCATTTAGTTGGAATTTTAAGTAGAGGTAGATTAGTGATTCATTGGGAATCTGTGTAGTCACAACAAGGTGGACAGAATCTAAGAGTCACCTTAAGAAGAGAAGATGTTGATGCTTGTGAGCGTCATAATTAGAGACTGGAAAAAGTAAGCTCTTGTTTTGCACTAAACTTATTCCAAACTTCTCTCTATCTCTCAAACCCACTTGTCTTTGGACTTAAATTACTTTCCTAAGTATGTTGATAAGAAATGCTTTCACCCACGATGCATTCAGGCAGAGGTGCACCCTTTCAGACTTTTCCCATAGAAACACACGTACCACACATAAAGTAAGTCCACTTCACGGGTCGGAAGATTCCATTACGCAACAAAGTAGTTCAAATAGCCGGTTAGTATACAAGCGAGTCACGTGCAGAGATGTGCGCCTCCGTTGTGGCCACAGGCCTTTCAGGCGGGGTGTGATCAAGCTTCTTCAGCCTGCAATTGGGGGTTGGGATGTGTTGACCAGTGGAGAGACGGAGAGGGAGAGATGGACATAGATATCTGGGGAGGGGCTTGATATATCAAGCATGCGTCAGCTTTCTGCCCTACTTGTACAGTAAAAGAAATATGTGCACAAATGTCAAAATCTGCACATCATTATGAGGCAGTAAGAAGGAGCGCGCTTTTGAGATGCTGGGGGCTCGGAGAAAGGAAATGTCTGGCCGTCGAGTGCCTGCAGCACGTACATCGCGTTCCATCCTTAAAGTGCTACGCCGCCGCACAGCGAGGGAAGACCACAAGCTGTGGCCTCCTTAATGTGCGGCGCTTCATGTAAAGCGGAGAGAGAGCCGCACCGCTGGCTCCTGCAGGGCTTAATGCAAACACAGAGGGATAGAGAGAGGCCGGGGAGAGAAAAGGACACACAGCAAAGCCTGACTCAGCTCAGAGGATTTGTGTATTGAAATTTTGAACGTTATAAAGATTGTCAAACCGTTACCCTGAACTGTACAGCTGCTCTCTTTTCAGGATTAGGCACAGTGCCTCCTTATATTTACCTATCATGCCCTCAGGTAACCTCCCAGCGGATGCAGGGGCTGCTGCTCCTGGTCTTTGCCAAGTACTTCCATCTGCCCTTCCTCCGCGGGGTCCAGACTGAGACCACCCGAACCGGCCTCGGGGGCTACTGGGTGAGACCGCTACTGCCGCCATTCTGTCCTCAGCATTGCATCATGGACATTTCACAACAGGCTATTTGCTTTCATCCAGTCTTTATACTTGACAGTCCCAACCAGTTTTATGAAAATAAAAAGCAGGTCAAGAAAACTAGTTAAAAAAAATGGGTTGATAAATTAGTTTCAGAACTCTGATTCTGTTCACTGAAATAATGACACAGCGCTCCGTTGGGATTCAAATCCTGCCTGTTGGAACTCATTCGGGCCTCAGCCCAATCTTCACACTTTACACTGAAACGTCTTTTGTGTTTTAGTGGGTCAGAGCCGTTGGGAGAACAGCAGCAGGACACCCTCGACCTCATCCTGCCCCCCCCCACTGTGCACTTTACTGTACAGCATTACATATTGATGATTGACTTCCTGTTTGTGGCACAGACAGCCTTACACACACACCACAGACCAATCCATCACTCTAGACAGTAATGGGATTTTTGAAAAACTAAAGAATGAGAAAATGAAACACAAAAGCTGTCTTCCCTACGGCGTTGTTTTCTCCTTCTTTAAAATGCTTTGACCACCGCCATGTACCTGCCGGTGTTACAGGGGAATAAAGGTGGTGTTAGCGCCCGCATGTCGGCGTTCGGACACACCATCTGCTTCCTCAACTGCCACCTGCCGGCTCACATGGAAAACTCTGGGCAGCGCATGGAGGACTTTGAGAGCATCCTGCAGCAGCAGCAGTTTGAGGGCCAGACGGCCACTGGTGTTCTCGACCACGAGTAAGTCAGCGCAACCTTTACACCTCGATATATCTGTGGAAAACAATCCCAGACTGGTGTTCCTCAGTAGCACGTAGGTACTTGTACTTGTTTTAAATTGACTGTTTTTTTTCAGTGTGGTCTTCTGGTTTGGGGATCTTAACTTCCGCATAGAAGACCTGGAAATGCAAGTTGTTAAAACCGCCATCGATACCAACAAATTTCCAATGCTGTGGGAAAAGGATCAGGTAAAACAGGCTCTCTAATAGAGAAGACCGTAAAATGTAACTCCTCGGCATGTGGCCTCCTGGAAATAAATGTTTTCCTTAGCTCCTTCGTATTTACAGAATCAGGTTCACTTTTGATTATTAATTTTTTTTAGGTTATCAAAACATTCTTAAATGTAGAAGTACACGCTGAAATCTTGTTTCTTGTCGAGTGGACTATGCATGGTGTATGTGAGGCCACTAGAAGGCACTAGAGAAGCATGCTAACCCCTTCTTCACTGTTGCAGCTCAATATGGCCAAAGACAGTGAGACCGTTTTGGAGGGTTTCCAAGAGGGGCCGCTGAAATTTCCTCCCACCTACAAGTTTGACGTTGGAACAGATACATATGACACAAGGTGCGACTCTAGTTTAATAACAATCCCTTTTCCTAAAGGTCTTCCTTAGCGAGAGCGTGGAAGTGACCATTGTATCCACATGATTTAAAAATTAGTTTAATCTCTCCCCATCTTTCTCTCTTAATTTCCGCTCACCAAGTGGGAAAAAACGTAAACCGGCTTGGACCGACCGGATCCTGTGGCGCCTGAGAGCCACCGCTGCTGCCGGCGCGGGGAAGCGTGGCTCCACTCTGGGGCTGACCAGTGGGACCAAAGTGACGCAACACTACTACCGAAGTCACATGGAATACACCGTCAGTGACCACAAACCAGTCTCCTCCATCTTTACCCTGCAGGTGAGACTTTGGAAAGGTGACTTGGACCTGGCATTATTTTATTTCAACACTGGTGCTTTTATAATAATGTAATCATTTGTTTTCCAAATTAAACTCAAAATGCTGTACCACTTTAAATGGGGGAACCATCGTCTATGCTTTAATTGATGCTGTGGACACATTTTGATCAGTACAGCCGTTTGATAGTACAAAAGTTTATTGTAAATGTTCTTTTTAGTTCCCGTACAAGTTAGATATGCCGCTGGTCACCATCATAGTGGAGGATGAGTGGAACAGTATCGATGATGCCGTAGCAAAATTCCGCCTGGCGCCCAACTACCCACGCAGCTCCTGGGACTGGATCGGACTGTTTAAGGTAAACATTTGTACCTCCACGAGCCAATTCAATGTTCCGAAGAATCCGCGTCAGTGAATCAACAGGAACATTATCGTAAATATCACTGTGTGTTACCAATTTGCCACCCTAGGTGGGTTTCAAGCACCATAAGGACTATGTGGGATATGTGTGGGCCAAGCAAGAGGAAGCTGACTTTACCCGACAAGACCATCAGGTAATCTGGTTGCGTATTGAATTGCCCGTGATGTCATTTTCTTTCACATTTAATAAATGTCTATATAACCGCTTCCCAGGTGACCTTTACTGAGGAGGAATTACCAAAAGGCTCAGGAGACTTCATCTTGGGTTACTATAGCAACAACATGAGCACCATTGTGGGTGTAACAGAGCCATTTCAGGTAATCATGGCACTTTGGCACTGCTTCCTTGTGTCTAAGAGGGGAATATTACATCTGTGGTAAGGTGGTGTTCCCATCTGCATCTTAGGGCTTTTCATTACTTTCACCGACCCTTCTCTCCCCTAAATCTGTATTATCTGCTTCATCCATCTCCAGATCCAGCTCCCAACTTCAGCCCTTGATGCCAGTTCTTCGGACAGCTCTGACTTCAGCTCAGACGAGGACGGCACCGTCGTCCCCACGAAGGGGGGGTCCCGCAGCCCCAGCCCCCGCAGAGCAAAGCACCGCAGCCATCGTAGCCACAGCCACAGCCGCCCTGGTAGCCCCACACAGGCCAAGATGAAAGTGCTAGACGTCGCCACGACAACAGCTGAGCGTGAGTCCACAGGACGTCCAGCAGAGGACAGCAGCGGCCAGGGCTCTGCTGCCGAGGAGAAAGAAAAAGACACAGAGGGTTCAGGGGTCTGAAGCGAAACCTCGTCCTGCTGTCGTCTCAGATCACATAGCCAATTGTTGTGTCTTTTATCGAATACATCCATTACACTGTGTGTTTTCTGTGATGAAATGATACAGTTTCTGATGCCATCCTTTTCAGGAACAGCCATCTGGTTGGTCCAGACGGCTTACTTTGCCTTGAGTTGTTCTATTGAGCTGTGCACATTGTATATTTTTTTATTTGTAGGTCTTTTCACTGGGTCCTGTGTTTCTTCTACCTTTTGTCCGTTCTCAGGTGTGGACAGTACAGGGAGCTGACACATTGCATTAGGAAATACTCAAGGATCCTACGGTCATGCAGCGTAAAAGAGCGGTTACTTAATACCATCTTCCCCCTTTTGTGACAGTGGTTTGATACTCTGCACTGTTGTAGCAGTAATGTCAGCAGACCGCATGCCGACAGTAAATGCTTTTGAGTACGATATACTTGCCACAAACATTGCTCACAAATCAATTTCATTAGTTGTGAAACATATGTAACTCTGACCATAGAGACGTAGTTAGAAAATAGTTTAAATCCAAAATATTCTACACAGGCATCCCCAGGCCAATCAACAATCACTTTTTCATAAGCTTTTGCAAATCGGCTAATGGAGATTGCCTTGCAATCTGAATTGGTGGTATGCGTCTACTATTGTTGATATTCCCTGCTTCGGAAATTTAGCATCCATACAGCAACTAGGAAAAAAAGATGCAGGAATCATTTGAAATGTTCCGCCACTGGGAATAAAGACCCTGCAGGGGACACAAAAAAAAGAAGAGCAGAAGCAAAGTGAGCGGGGCGGGTTCAGGGGCTACTGCCCATGGTCACAGCACACGTCAGCTTAGAAAATGGATTAAATGGACGTGATGGTCAGCTCGCAAAACTAGCTGATTAATTGTTCGTCACTATCTCTGCTTGGCCAACTTTAGTGGTAACAACCACAGCAATATCTGAAGCAGGATACATTTAGAGTGTATTTCTTGGACCGATTATACTTTTAATGTAATTTAATGAGCCTTATCCGATAGTTAAGTTACCTTTTGCAAAAAATGTGCATGGGAAACAAGATAACACATCTTATTCTTTTTTTTACTCCATTTTCTAGTATCAAGTTAAAATAAAATGTATTTTGTGTATTATTATTTCGACAAAAACTCAAGTAAAACGGATAATCAATCTGGATATCTCTGACAAATGTGAGCAGAGCTCTACTATGTAGAGCTACTGTGGGGCTTTGCATTGTATGAAACAAAGCTCCACTCTAGTGAAATATCACCATGACAATGCTTTATTTCAACTACATTCAATGGTCCTATCGCTTTATTTCCAATGGTCCTATCTAATGCTTTATTTTATTGTGTGAACTTTTTTTTTTAGGTTTCTTGTTTAATTATTTATTCTTCGCTCTGACCCATCTTGTCCTTGTGGTTAGCCGATCATAACAATAGTCGGCATGTTGCATCGTTTCGTTGCACCATTTGAGACCCGTTGTACTTTTGGGGGTGTTAGCGTAGGACAGTGTGTACTGTTGTAGCTGTAAGTGTGTATGTCTGTATTCAGTTTTTGTGTGGATGTTTTTTCATGGACGTGTATGTGTGTGTGTGAGTGTGGGTTTGTTTAGGAGTGTGTGTGACTGTGTTTGCATGTTTGCTGCTGGACATACTGTACATTCCGGTACTGTAGTTTTTGTGCCGTAAAGTGCTGTTTTTGACTCCTATTTGTTATAATAGTGGAAGTGAAAATTGTTAGAAAAACTTGTTATAACATGTAAATGTTAGTGTTAAGTGAAGACATGCAGGACAGTTATGCTTGCAACAATCTGAAATAGTTTAACATATTTCTTAGTACATTCTTGTATTGTCTAGTCTTTGAAATGAAAATCCTAATGGACCTTTGTTTAGAGTAATATGTTTAAAAACAAGATTAAGATTGTACTACTTTGTCTTACTTTAGGTAGTTTAGGTAAGTATGGTCAGTTCTGCTGCCACGACCAGTAACTATCTATTGTGAAATGTAAATGAAGAAAAAGTCTCAGAATGTTATTGTTTTGTAATTATATGGCTAAAATAGAAGAAATATATACACGTAAAGAGTAAATATTAAGTATGGTAGAAAATTCTATATAGGAGACAATCTATGCTGCAAAGATGATTTTACCTAAATTCTGTATTTATTTTCCTATTTCATTATTAAATGAGCCTGAATTCTGCTGGCCAGTGAGGGAACATTATCTCAAAGGGTTTTACAGAATATTGATGATTATTTTCTTCTCCTGTAAGGACCTAGAGAAAATTCTCCATTTTAGCCAAATAAAATGTTGCTTTAATTGTCTGAAATGAGGATTGTTTAGTCCACAGATATTTGTATAGTTGTGAATGAAATCTAGTAAAAAATATAGCAAGCCTGTGAAATATTGTTGACTCATAAGAAAAGTTTATCTCTGTGAAAACATCTGATCAATTCGATGAGAAGGCTTTTTTAGGGGCTGCGTTGCTTTGTTCTCAAACCCCGAAACTAGTGAAACACTCTCCAAAGAACCCAAAATATACTCTCCTTCAAACTGTGCTTCCTGTGTGCTTCCTGAGTGTTTCCTGAGTTATTGTCACGGCTGAAACAATTTATATTACAGTTTAATTTATTGTTCCTTTTTTCTTATTTAACAGAATAACTGAAGAGTTTAGTATTTCTTTTTTCCTGACTGAAATTTGAGAATGAGAGTGCTGAAGTAACAGTGACTGAGATCAACATGTGGGTGTACAAAGTGAAAAAGGGCGATGGCCCATGTTAATGGAATGCCCTGAGAGAATGCAATCTGCGCTGCTAAGACTTTTGCATGAAGACATGCAAGTAGTTTGTCCATGATTACTACACCTACAACTTTGCATATGCATTGTATTTAATTATGGAACATCATTTAACTTCATTCCATTTTCACCAGTGTTGGGATGGCCCTTCAGTCTATTATTAACCTGCTTTTGACAGCCATTTGAATCTCTGGGATTTATTGTTGGATGCAATGAATGTTGATTGATATTTAGACTTTCAATATAAATGTGAACAACCGGCACACCACACATCCTGCAAAAGGCAACAGCAGGTGTATCTTGCATCATGCTTTTGACCTCTGAAAAGAAAGAGTCCGCCCTGCAAATTCATGGTGACAAATGACTTTACCGCTCTGATGCAACAGTGGTCAGTGATTGAGTTGCTCTTTTGAGTGACAATACATACCGTAATACCATAATTAAATGATGAGAAAGGTACATGCAGACAACACTAATGGCCATGTATTGTAATAAGTGTAAACTTTTTTTTCTGGGTTTCATTTTTCCATCAAGGTTGAATTTCTGCTTATACATTTTTACTGTAGAACAGTATTTTTATGCTGAAGGCAACCTTTAATATTTGACCATTTATAACCTGTGGTTCATATAAGCCACTGTGTATGTTTTGAATACCCTTCATCAGGTTGGATATTGATGCCACATTTTTCTTTATCTAACATTATAGACCAGTCATTGTTTGCGATAAGCCTAGGTCTATCTGTCACGATGACTTAGAAAGATTGAGCAGCTTGAACAGAGAAAACATCAGGTCACTCTGCTTGATCACGCAACATTATGCTTGATGGAGCAACACTGGGATTGTGTGATGATTCATAGGTGAGGGATATTCACAATGACAAGCAGAAGATGCACATTACTTTTTCTTGGTGAAGCAGCGATCTGAATTGAAAACTTTCCAAATCTTTGCTGAAGTAAAAAAAACACTCAAACTAGAACTAGAACTTGAACTAGAAATACTCATATTCTCAAATAAATAAAATGGTCCTGCTTTGGAGCCATGGTCAAACCGTTCTTTTAGCAACAATAATTAAACCCATCTGCTGCCTGCAAAGGTACAACTTGTTCACAATCACAGCTTTTGATTGTATAAAAAACTGCCTGAAGGGTAGAGGCGGAGATGGAAGCTTTTTGAGTAAAGTATAATTAAGTTATTTAGAAAAATAATAAACACAATCTCTGCTCGCTGTTCACTGTACAATCTCACTTTGTTGCAATCATCTCCAGGTGTTCTGCTTGTTTGTCCAGGGGCACATGTTCTCATGTACAATCAAATTAAGTTATCAGATTATATACTAGTGTGGGTTTATAGTAAACTCTAATAATGGTTTGCTGGGAATATATATCGTTTTTATTACACATCGTGGAAATCTGCTTAATGTACATTTACAAAACAAACACAAAGTATAAGGATGTTATATTGAATGTTGCATAAATAATAACGGTCAGCCAGCTCACCTCCTTAAAACACAACTAAAGTAGAGTCAAACTGTCTCAAGCATCACTCAACACACTCGTATCTATGTAGGAATCATCACAGCCGCGTGAATCACAACTGTGAAAGGAAGAATTCGCTCAGATAAAGGCACCAAAGGGTGCAACTAAGTCTATTATTACATCACCATTCACATCACCCATGCACACGTCCTCCCCTTCGAAGGGACGCGATGGTATGGTCCACCCCGCCGTGACGTCAGACTGTGTAGGATAAATAGAGGAGCTCTGCGCCATGAGGCGGAGGCTTATAGGACCCACTTACCGAGGTACCGCACAAGGACGGAACACGCCGCTCGTAGTAAAGATAGAAAAATAAAGCCGTAACATTTTTACAGAGCAGCAGCCGCCGACAGCGACAATGAACGGGCAGATTAATGGTTTCCACAACTCCCTCATTGACGAGGACTGCTTCTTGTTCACCTCCGAGTCGGTCGGGGAAGGACACCCCGGTAAGACCCTCCGCCTACACTGCGTATTTTAGAGTACTTCTAAAATTACCTAAATACAGCTCCACGTGCTCTAACGTTACGTTCCCCGCTTCACTTCATTTTTTAAAGTAATGTGATGTCATGTGGATTTGGACGTTACGGCCTTTGCCGCTTCGTTACGTTATCCGGCCGGTGACCGAGTGCACGCGCTGCTAGCTAACGTTGATGTTAGCGAGCTAACGTTAATCGATGCTGCATGGTGCTATCGCGTGTCTGCTCAGCTGACGGCACCGATCGCTGATTCTCAGACATTAACCGCTGATGTTAAACAATTCCTTGCTTAAATTAATTTGTTTTTATTGGTACGCGTTTTCCTGAACGTGCCTAAAATGTACCAGCGTTATGAAATAAAGAAAGCTAAGTTAGCATTATCTGTTGGCCGTAACCGCGTATGTTCGGGGTTTTGTTCCTTCTAATGTTTTATCCTCGAAAGACCGTTTAAATTCTTACTACTATATCACGTTTGCCTTCCGGCTCCGGGTGGATGTTACTTGCGCGCCCTTGCTTCCCCACCACACGTGCACATGCCGAAATGGCGTCTGTGAGCCCACGTTTTCATTCGTGTTTTGCTGCAGTTATTTCCCCAGCTGTTTAGTTTATTGTTGTTTTTTCCAGACAAGATCTGCGATCAGATCAGTGATGCAGTTTTGGATGCTCATCTCAAGCAGGATCCCGATGCCAAAGTTGCATGTGGTATGTAAAATGCTCCTCCTTTCTTTCAATATTTGTTTGTGCAACTCATTTATATTGACCGTTGTATTCGTACCTCCTGCAGAGACTGTTGCGAAGACCGGCATGATCCTGTTGGCCGGTGAGGTGACCTCTCGTGCCATAGTGGACTATCAAAAAGTTGTTCGGGACACCATCCGTCAAATTGGATATGATGACTCGTCCAAAGGTGCTTGATGCTATTGTGCATGTTGTTGTTGTTGTTTATTATCAATGACCCGAATCTTGACGTGCTTCTATCTTGTCTCTTGCACAGGCTTTGACTATAAGACCTGTAATGTTCTTGTGGCCTTGGAGCAGCAGTCTCCAGACATCGCTCAGGGTGTTCACGTTGACCGCAACGAGGAGGATATTGGCGCAGGGGATCAGGTCAGTCGTGGTTATGTGAGCTCTGTAGTTGGATAACTGATCTTTCATTGTCCTTAAAGGAGACTTTAAAAAAAATGTGTTTCTCTGCAGGGCTTGATGTTTGGCTATGCCACTGATGAGACTGAGGAGAGCATGCCTCTCACAATTGTCCTTGCCCACAAACTAAATTCTAAGATGGCAGAGTTGCGTCGCAACGGCACCCTTCCTTGGCTCCGGCCAGACTCAAAGACACAGGTACAGTTGTTATTTAATTATCGGAAATTGTACTTTGTTTGTTGGGATTATGGCTTATATGTCGTTACTTCACAGGTCACTGTCCAGTACCGCCAGGACCGGGGGGCCATGCTTCCAGTCCGTGTACACACAATTGTAGTCTCTGTGCAGCATGATGAGGATATTTGCTTGGAGGAAATGAGAGACACTCTGAAGGAGAAGGTCGTCAAGGCTGTTGTTCCGTGCATCTATTTGGACGATGACACCATTTACCACCTGCAGCCCAGTGGGCGATTTGTTATTGGAGGCCCACAGGTAAATGTCAAAGGGTGTGGCTTATAAAAAATATTTAGCTCGAGTTACTCACCTGTGTGACCTCTGCTCTCCAAAGGGCGACGCTGGTCTGACTGGGCGTAAGATTATTGTTGACACCTACGGCGGCTGGGGAGCCCACGGCGGTGGAGCCTTCTCTGGGAAGGATTACACAAAGGTGGACCGCTCTGCTGCTTACGCTGCGCGGTGGGTGGCAAAGTCGCTGGTGAAGGCTGAGCTTTGCAGGAGAGTGTTGGTCCAGGTGAGCGAAAGATTCCGCCTTTGTTTTTGCTGCGAGGGACTCCAGAGATTCCTACTTGTATTGTTTTATTTATTTTAATTGAAATGTTTTTGTGTGTATCAGGTTTCCTATGCAATTGGAGTTGCCCATCCACTTTCCATTTCCATCTTCCATTACGGGACCTCAAACAAGAGTGAAAGGGAGCTGCTGGACATTGTTAAGAGGAACTTTGACCTCCGTCCTGGAGTCATTGTCAGGTAATGTATAGCCTCTGAAGCCACCTGTTCTCCCTGATACAACCGACCCCTCCGGTCCTAATAACCTATGATTTCTTATTTATTTCTGACCACAATATAGTTTTATAATTTAAATTCCTGTGACGCTATAGTCATTTTGCTGCAGCCTGCTTTTTTTGGCTTCCATCGAAAGCTTTTAACTTTTTTTCTCATTGTACTTTAAGGCATTGAGGAGGAATTGGAAGGAACAAAGGTTACTTTTATTGGGATCGATATGCATGGTGGCTTTCTGTAATGACACAGTAATGGCCATAGTTATGAAAGTGTCGGGGTTTTTTTGGTAAATTGTATAATGTGGTTTCCAGCTGCAGTAACCACACTGCTCAGGGATGAGTTGGTTGTCTGGGTAAGTTTCAAAGCTTCACAAAACACTCTTAACCAGCTGGTCCAACCAGCTGCAGTGTTTTTTTGTTTTGTTTTTTGTTCTCTTGTGTGGCACTTCACTCAGCAGCCTAATGTGAGCATTGTGTGCATTTGAAGTCTGTGCCTGCTGCTAAGAATGTTGATTATGTATTCCAGGGAGCTGGATCTGAAGAAGCCCTTGTATCAGAGGACCGCAGCCTATGGCCACTTTGGCCGAGACGCCTTCCCATGGGAGGTGCCCAAAAAGCTCAAATACTAAACATGTTAAGCTTTTTCCCCCCAGGCCTGTTGGTGTATACTACAGAGAAGCCTCCAAGGTTCCGGGGGTGAAATGCACTCATAGTAATGGTTTCCATAACACTGACTCCCTCTGTCACTCCATCTCCCTCCCTGTCTTCTTGCTGTTTTCCGCTGGTTGCAGTATCGTAGTGGGTCGTGGCAGGCACGGCTCAGAAACTCTATGTTTAAAGAAATGGATGAAGTAATGAACCATAACTTCTCCCGCGTCTTTGGGTTCCACTGGTTCCTGGTGTGATAGACCTGAATAGCTGCTTTGAGTCTGTCTCCTTTCGGCATTCCACACCAGTCTATTTTGGTTGGTGTTCTTGCAAACTTGTATTTGGCTTTAAGAGTCACTCACTTTAATTCACTGGTGCTGTTTTAAGTCCTTTTAGATAATCATTTGATTTGGGGGGGGTTCTCTGATCTGGCACCTTACCGAACAGTTTAGTGTCGATCTAAACATTCCTCCTTCATTCAATCTAGTACGATGCTTTGCTGACCCAGTCTCCGTTCTTGAGCCTTTTTTGTTCGCTTTACTTTTGCATCTTTGTGGAGGATGCTGTGCATTGCAGGCTAACCCCAAACCAAATCCTAATTCTTAAAGCTTACAGATTATCAATGCTCCGACGCCCCCCTACAGACCGTTGCTGTTTTCTGACGTAATACAGAAAAGTCAGAAGCTGCTATGTCACTGGTCTGCAGAGGTTTTTGTTATACTTGAAAATAATTGGATTTTTATGCATTTGAAATTCCATTTTTAAAATGAGTCTTTTAAAATGTAGTTTCACTTTTGTTTGAAGTGACAAACTGGCCTTTCCCTCCCTACGTGTATGGATGGCAGGTGTAGCTACAGAGAAACCTGGTCACTCCATCCTTAGTGGAGTGTTTGTTGCCACAGAGTCTTATTGGCTTGAAGTCCGGCCTCAACACTATTTATTTGTTCTGAGACGCAGCGTGGATACAGAGAAGCTGTGGTTTCAGAAGGCAGCTTTAAACATGTCTATTGAATCTAATTCCTTTTTGACTTGATCATTTTTTTTCAGTGTTTTTGGCTTGAGGCGCCAGAGTGTTGTACAGAAAAGCTTTGGGCCGCCTCAACTCAAAATGTTCACTGGCTACTGTTAATGACATTTTATGAACTTTTGGACTACAGATCTTATTTTTAAGTGGGTTGGTTTTTAAATCCGGTTAAAATGTCTGGCGCAATTCTTTAGCTCTTACTTATCCTCGACGCAATGGCAACATCCGGTTGGTGTTGTACAGAGAAACCAGCCTTGTTTACGCAGCCATGTCATCTGTAGGATAGGTTTAGAGTTCTGGGTTTTGTTCCCTTCATCTCTGAAGCCCCCCCCCCCGTTGGCTACCGTAAGTGTAGGAGTGCCTTTTCTATTTCCTCTACTCCCCATCTGCTTTCCTACCAACATGCGCTCAACTTCCACAGGAACATGTAGCTCATACTGTCTTGCTCTTCATGTCTAGACTGGGTGGTTTCTTTATGCTCTGTAATAAACAACTACTCCTTTAAAATGTCTGTCTCTGATGTGATTATTTTGTGTCCCGTTTCATCAACACTTAGTTTGGTTTTTACTCGACGTGTGCACTTTAATGTTAAGTTCATTGTGAGGATTTGGCATCCAAGCCAAATATTCTGCGTAAATAGCAATGATATGCAGCAAGTAGAAAGCGGTTAGACTCATTTCTGTCTATGCGTTACACAGTACGCCCCATGGCCCTCAAAGGGCTGCATGTGAAAGTAACTAGTTTGTACGGCTTTTCTTAAAATACTTCTGTGTAACCCGCCCCCACCAGGCCTTTTACTGTGCTCCCAACATGGAGGCAAACTTTCGGTCTAATTTAAGAAAGTAGGTATAACAAATGTACCACATACTTGGGTTAACTGTGGGTTTATCAGATAAAAGCGGAGTGTTCATATGCATGAAAAAAATAAAATGTGTCCCAATAGTGGGCTACTTTCAAATGATACCGTTCACAATAAGGCATGTAGTTTGGGTTGTATTGTCTAATGTCCAAAAAATCCATGACTAAAGATTTCGCGTCTCTAATCCAATAACCTGCCACGCTTTATAGATCGCATCATAAACGTTTTGGGCTGTACATCAAAGTACATTAGTCAACAACTTTAATGTATTACCTGCTGCTGGATTACGCTCTGAGGTCTTTCATTTCACCACAGTAACGGATTCCATCCGGTGAGTGAACGTGTGCAGAGCTCCACGGACCAGAACACGCCATCTCTGACTACTTCATTGTCGCATAAATTACTTTGTTGTTCAACACGTTTAAACAATCACTTTAGTGTTTCTAAACTATTTTAAAACCACAATCTTCATCCAAAACGAAGGTGCTTGGGAGCAATCCTTTCCCTCAAAATGATCAGACTGTTTTCTTTATCTGGGATGATCAGCCACTCGATAGCCTTCAAAAGCTTTTCTGTTAATTTCGCTGGGTACTTGCAGAAAGCACGCCCTACACTCTGCTATGTGAGGTGGTGAATGGGTTACGTGGGACAGTTGTGTAGTTATTTTTGAGGCCTGGGTGTGTGTTGCCGGAGGGGAATAGTTGGGAGGTTTCAGGTTGGATTGATGTTCTTGCTCTCCTGAGCAGCTGGTTGAACTTGATTGAAAAAGTCAGTATATTTGCAGTGTGGCAGGATTATGAGCTCTTGAAGAAGAGCCAAGTTTCATTGTGTAACTTGTGGTTTTTCCAGCTACGTGATTAGTCTGCATCCACCAAATGAGTCAGCATTTATGCCCTTTATGAAACACCAAACAGCCAGCTTTCAAAACATACATTGATTAAAGGAGCGTTATTTTCATTTGGGCCTATTAAGTCAAAATATTGTGATTGTGTGGGGTAGAAGGTTCAACCTGTGGTTTGTTAGATTAGAAATAGCATGTTTTCTCTGGTCAGATTTTAAAACTGACCAAAAGATGTGACATGCAGATTTGACTTTCTTGTTAACATTCAGATGCCAGGAGGCAGTGGTGATAATCAGGTATTCATCAGGTGATTCTGTGGTTGCTGCGGCTTAATAATAGTAACAGGGCTGACTCGTGATTTATCTAGATTAATAAAGCAATTCAAATGTGTTAAAAATAACCTTGAATTGATAAAGAGATTAGATAAAACCGTTTGTAATTGTGTACTCAGTGTGTTTGCAGTGCAAAGTTCTCAAACAAGGACATTTGATAAAGCATCTTCAGATCAAGATCTGTGCCAGGTTCTAAAATCCTACACGCAGATGAAACCATCAGCAGAGTGGCAGTGTGCTTAAATAGCATTGTTAACTATAGAGACATAGATTCATCAAATGTTTGTACGAAGTGGCCGCTTGTTGGTATTTGGTACCAACCGACATTCACTATACAGCTGCGCAGAATGAACAACGCCAGATGCCATTGGGTTGCTTTTTTCACTCAACCAACACATTCCTGGACAAAATAGAATAATAACAATGTGGGATGGATTCTAAAATACAATGAACACAAGGCTACACTGCACCGGTGTGCATAACCAGTCAGCTAAAGCCGCTGCCGTCCTTCTCAACTCTGGATTACATTTCTCAAAGCTTGTGTGAACCTGTACCTAAATCGTACTAATCTTTGGTCATTTGGAACGAGTTCAGTTTGTTCCGACAGGACTTAGAGCGGCATGTGTGTGCGAAGCAGACTTTAAAGAATGACATGTGGCATTCTGGATAATATTAGTCAATATCAATGCATGTTTATAAAAGGTAGTCTCATTGAAACTTAAAAAAAACAAAAATTTCTATTGTGCCAACCCACACAAGGAGATGCCCGCATGGCAGTGAATGCAATGCATTCTAGCCAGTGAGCTTTTAATCCTGCAGCTTTGTAAACCAGGGAGCGTCTAATGTGGAAGTCTGCGCATCTCAGTCCCATGAGCGTTAGTTCTAGTGTAATGGAGACCTGCAGACTCACAGGGGCTTTCAGCTCCCATGGCAACACCAGTGAGACACGTACATTATTATTACTATTACTTTGATTGTATCCAACACGAAAGAAAGTTACTGGAGGACTGTGATTTATACCCCTATTTTATATTTTATAAGCTGCCGTGCTCTTGGGTTTATTCTTTAGTCTGTGTCCTGTTGTTTTTGTTCAGTCTCATCTGTTCTGCACCTGTCTCGCATCCTGCTCATCTGTCCTCAATTCCCTCTTGTCAGTCACTAATCATTACACCTCCTTCACTTTGTTGGAGTGCTATTCATTGTTGACTTTTTTAGGGTTTGCCACTATTTGCTAGCTGTACCTGCCCTGCCTTTTTGACTGTTTGTGTTGTAAGATTCACTGATGCTGCCGATTACAACAAGCTACTTCGTAAATACAGTCGAGAAGACTTTCCCACCACATTAATACGGTTACACTAGATCAAGATACGTGTGCTCAAGCAACATATTCAAACCTCAGGGCCCACCACTGCAGCTGTGCATTTGCAGGCCCACGTTGGCTCAGTCAAACATCTATATTTAACGCACAGCGGTCAGAGGGGGGGGGGGGGTCAGTCTTCCGCAGCCTTGAATGGGCAGGATCATTCACGAGTGCACCGGTGTCACAGCGCTGACGCAGGCAGCTGAAAATCAAGGGATGTTGGGGGTTGTAATGCACTTCTGGGGAACTGTTGGTGGAGCATCGCACCACCTTTGCTCTCTGGGACCACAACGCGGCTGTAGTTTTATCTTTGTTTCTCAATCAACCAAATACAGACTCTTCCCAAAGCAGAAAGCTGAGCGGACGCCACCTGTGCTCTGCTCGCATATGAGACCAAACATTGTTGTAAACCGAGAGGATTTTCTCACAGCCCAGCGGTGCAGAGGGGGGTGACGGTGTAAAGGGCAGAAGCTGGTCAGCACTTAGTGGAGCTCAGTAGTTTCTTGTAAGGATTGGGTGACAGCTGATGCTATATTTATGCCAATCTAATTTTGCTGTATAGGTCAAATAAAGCCTCACATTGCTCGTATTTTTTCTTACTACACCATTTCTCACATAATGTTATTTTTTCACAGCTTTTTATATAGGGATATAAAGCGTTTATACATTCAATTTGACTCTATTTGTATTTTTATAGTCAAATTATAGGGAATTTAGTTGATGATAGATTCAAATAATCCCCTCCAACCTGCCCTAATTATGGCAATAGCTAAGTAATAAGGCAGTAAATAGTGTGTCTAATAAAACATGAACCTTTACTATCTTCATATTTAGTATTGTCTCAGTTACTTGACACCGTATATGTCGCGTGATGTGGGTGTGTGGAAAAATAACGCCCCACAACGATCATCCGTTACAAAGGTGCATCCGATTACGCACTTTGAATCAACCTGAGTCATCGTGAACTTTAGTTACACATTATGTGCTCCTGGAGTGACTCCAAAATAGTATCTAAACTGTTTTTATAGCAGCATTTTACTCAATTTGTCATTGAACTGCTGCTGTTTCTGTGGCTGGTGGTCCTGTCAGATGGTGGTTGTCCCTGCAGTACACCTGGTCACTACTTGCAATATTTGAATGATTTCTGTCATAGGAATTGAATGTTTTGAACATATTCTACGTTGTTCGTTCTGTACACATGTCATCCATTGTAGTCTGTCCATCCCGGGAGAGGGATCCTCCTCTGAGGGTGTCTTCGCTTTTTTCTCCCCATCGAAGGGTTTTTCATTTTTTTTGAGTTTTTCCTGCGCTGATGTGAGGGTTTTGGGACAGACGATGTCGCATGTGTACAGACTGTAAACCAGGCAAATTTGCAATTTTGGGGTGTGCAAAATAAAATTAATTGAATTGAATTGAAACTTTTCGAAGCGGTAAAATCAACATGGTGAGACACATTCATCCTATTGAAAACTCCAAAATGTGTGTTTTGTTTCACTAGAATAAGTTGCAACTTAATAAATACTTATGCTCACTACCTCAATAAATAAATCTTATATAACAGGGCGTAATAAGCAATGATAAGACGGAAGAATGGGCCGTAGAAGTATCCACTGTTGAAACAGAGACTTTGAACAGAATTGCGAGCAGTATTTGAACATTTTCTGTAAGTAAAACGCTAGTTTTAATGCAAACCTTTAGATTGCCTAAAAAATAGAAACAGTTCATGGTGATTGCTATCTTTCTCTTCCTACTCTATATAATAGTGCAGTGTGTCATTAATGAGAACAATGCCGTCCAAGCACACGTCTCAATGGAAAAAAATGTTCATGTAAGGTATATAAACATATTGTGCAACATGGCCATACGTAACTACCTGCCTGCCACGACAGGTAACATCAGGTTCCCTTAGTTGCATAACGTCAAAACATCACGCTAAGTCCTTCCTGGGCATATATAACTGCCTGACAGGTTATGTGTTATATATCTTTATTAATGCGTCTGCACAGAGAGGGGGAAGGTGTGAAGGTGTGAGCTGTGATTGGCTAATTGTCCACCAATAGAGAACTGGTGGAACTGGAGATAATCTGTTGACAGGGGAATGTGTCTCTTCTCTAATAACCACACGCTACGCTCTTCACCAATAGCGTAGCAGAAGCCCGTCCTCTTTGACGAGCCTTTGCACACTTGTCCTGCCACGTGGTCATGATGAGGATGAGGTTTGCATGTTTTCATCCATTCATGAGAACAATGAATTAATCCCCTGCTCTAGTGTGGATTGGCAGCTCGTCTGCCCATTTTTTTTTTTAACCAGAACCCGGGTGGTGGTGGAACTTAGTGTTTCCCCCTTTCATCAAGGGGATGGGAAGAATGTGTCAGCCCATTATATCTTTGACGAGACGGCAATACATTTACCTTCGGCACAACTGCTGGTAGCTATGTGATAATGGGGAGCGCTGCCCTTTTAAAGAAATTATCTCTGTGTCCTCAGGTAGTTCTGTCAGTGTCAGTTTGTTGTAGACGACAGGTTTGTCTTTTTCACACATTCAGAGAATTTGAGTGAAGGGTGGGGGGACTACACCCCTGGCTGGTTCAAACTTGCTGGTTTTGTAACTGCATGGAAAACAGGTTAGCAACAAAAAAACACTCCACTAGGTTGAAGGGAAGTCAACGCAATGGAGTAATGGTTGATATCAAAATAGCTTTCTTTATCTCTCCAGTTAATTTATAACGTTAGAGAGAAAAAGTTCAACAAGTAGTGGCTGAAGTGTCCCACAGAAGAATGAGATGAGGACGGGACATTTCAGAATGATTGACCATTAAACGTGATGGTCTCGTGAATGGAGAATTACAGTTTGGCCATTTCTCTTCAGAATTAGAACAGATTGTTACAATGCTTAGTGACTTATTGACAAAAATATATTTTGACGAGTGATTGAGAGAAAAGTTGAGAAACAGCAAATAGGCCTTCAGATTTAAAATGCTGATTCATATCGCCACCTGCTGACGACATGGTGTCAAACACTTCTGTCACAACTGCATTTTATATAGGATGTTATTGTATTCCCAATACTAAATATATATTTCAGGATAGAAATGCTAAAAGTCAAAGTACCCCCCCGTAATAATTGCAACATATCGAGACACTAACAACTAACTTTTAGGGCTGTTCAATTGAAGAAGTCCACATCCAGACACAATTGGACAGTAATATATGTATTTTATATACATATACTTAACATTCATTTTTTACATAAAGAATCATGTTCTCAAAAATATATTTAGTATCAAAAATAAAAGTATTTCAAAAATCTAAAATAAATTAGAATACTTCAAACACTGAAACAAATGAACACATCATCGTGGCTACGGCCACACTGGAAACAAAACTGTATTTCATATTTCTAAACATTGAATCACTGAGACTGATGTTCCGTTCACAGCATTATAGCTAAAAAAAGTATTAATCTCTTTATAAAAACAAGGTCTTTGTAAACACAAGAAACACAGGAGGTGTTTAACAGAGAGGAGAGGTTAACAGTGCTCTCTGTCAAAGAGTACATACTCATTTTTATCAATTTAACTGTTAGAAAGCAAGAAAGTCCAATTGACTCGAAGGTGTAAAAAATGTGTCCTTAAACCTATGAATGAGGGTGTGAGGTAAGAAAAACATGGTTTGAAAAATGTAAATACAGTTAACTCCCGACTTTCTTTCATAAGTGCCATTCCTTCTCCCTTAAAAAAATAAAAGACAGATTAATTAGGGGTCATAAAGTTGGATCTCTGCTGATAGTCACTGTACCTGATCCTAAAATCCTCATTGTCTCCCCAATACTGACAACAGCGTTAATGCCGCGTAGTGCAGAACTGCAAATAAAGTATTGCGCCTCTTTGCCAATTGTCCCTGTCATCATAGTCAACTGCTTGAGAACATCGCTCAACGTCTGTCCCCTCTTTTGTCAATTTCCTTCCGAATTCGAGCTTCTAGAGCTGCCTTCATGGCTGAATCCAGGATGTTCTTCTCTGCGACACGATCCACCACCTTCTCAGGGTTATCCTCCTGTGGAAACAAGGTAATTAGGAACAAAGTCAAATAAATCGAGAAGTTATAAAACATCAGTCAAAAGAATCTTCATCAACCTTGTGCACCAGGAAAGAGGTAATTGCACCGGAGTCCGCCTGGTAGTCGAGCCAGAAGAGTTCAGCACCGTGGGTCTCTGCCTCTGTGCTTGACCCACTCTCATTAGACTCTTCAGCCTCAGCACCGGCTCCTGGCTCTGATCCATCTGCAAAATGGGCACACACGCTCATACTCTTTACTGGATTTCCGGCTGGCAAAGCCACAACGAAGCGTATCGGACTTACGTCTGCATCGAGGATGGTACACTTGGATGTCAGGCCGCCGGGGTCGTCTAGGGGTCGTGGTGTTCCTCCGCCGCTGAAGCTCTTTAGCTTGTTTTACGTCTTTGGCTTGCTTCACCTCTTTATCGTAGTCATCTCTTAAGAAGCCACCAATGTAGATTGTGTTACTGCTATGAAATGTACGCCTCTTATAATAATAATATGCTTATGCATCCAGTTCAACATATCTTTGAACTTCTGACCCAGTTATTTAAACACAAATAATGTAATGCTATTTTTTAAGGATTAGAAGTGTCCTGTCTCCCTGAAACAACAGTTTATATTAATAAGTCTAAGGGCACATGCAGGAAGATGCTTCACTTCATCACTATTTTATTTCTACCATTAAAAAGCATGGATTTAATCAATTAAGTAAAAAAACATGTCCAGTTGAGTTTTCTTAAATAATTGCAAAAAATGTTCCTGCAACACGATAATATTTATCTGATATGCATCCAATTGGTTAACTTAACCCAAGCATAACGTTGGTCAATGGGACAATGCGACAATTTCTTCGTATTTTCGGTTCGAGCGTGAGAGGACACGTCGCCCGTCCCACCACTGGCCTGTCATCCACCCCTCAGATCAACATCTAACTTACGCAAAATTGAATAGCTGCATCACAAGGAGATTGCGGCTGGATGAGAGGACCTGGTTGGTTAACAAGCTAACGTTGCTAGCTTCGGCTAACGGTCGTGGGGGAAATCACCTAGCAATTTGGTTCCTCCGGATATGGTGCAGGAAGCCGTGGCTCATGTCCAAGCGGCCGCCACGTTTGTATTTCAGCTCAAGTGCTTCATCGTCTCCTAAAATATCCATTCTAACAAACTGTTCCACTACGGCGACAGTATGTGTGCGCTTATGACGCCAGCAAGCAGATCCACAGACACCAATGACAAAAAGCTAATGTTACATGCTAGCTAATGGTAAATTGTTGTCCAAATATAACATTCCCGGAGTTTACAGACGAATAATAAAAATACCCTTTGTTTACAAAGACAAAAAATCCTTAAATGGACCCTTACCGAGCATCTACAAAAATTAAATATCAAAACACCAGGTTGAAATTTCATAAAAAGTGCTGACGTTAGTTATTGAGTTGGGTTTGAGCAGTTGGATGGGACTGGCCTCAAACTCCGGGCTACTTTTTTGTCTCTTATTTGGTAGTTCGACGTACAGCCGCTCTACCACCGCGAGTTTCGACACGCTCGGTGCTTGAGCCATTCATTTCTTCCAAATAAAGTTGGGCCCTTTTCGTTATTTTGAAACAAACTGCTATGATGATTTCTTTGAAGCGAGAAAGAGAAGCTGAAGTGGAGGATGATGATGACGACGAGGAGGACGAAGGCAGAGGTAAAGTTGCGTTTAGTTACTGCTAACGTCTGTGCTATGTTTGGCTAGCAGGTAGCGTGCTACTGCTAACGTCCTAGGAGCTAGATGCAAGTTATTTTTTATTCACGGGTCGGTCCAATCACATTAAGGCCAACAAATACCACTACTGTGTACATATTGATCTGGCTAAAACAAACGAACCGCTTTTAAATGTGTCAAATCCACCCGACAATAACCTGAATGTTAGGCTAGCTAGCTGGTTTAGCTAACGCGTTAGACTACATTCAACGGTTCGAACACCATCTGATCCGACTCTGTTTTGTTTAACTCGATGTTGCAGTGGCAGCCAAAATAGGCCGAGGACGCGCAGCGGAAGACCGGAGAAGCCGCCACTGCCCTTACCTTGACACCATAAACAGGCAAGATAATGTTGACTGCGCATGGCTAATGTCGATGCTAAATGCTAGTTAGCCATGCCCTCCTCTGTAGCTCCTCAGCTGATTCCCAGGCTTGTCTTTTTATCCACCAGGAGTGTGCTGGACTTTGACTTTGAGAAACTCTGCTCCATCTCTCTTTCCCACATCAATGTCTATGCCTGCCTTATATGTGGGAAATACTTTCAAGGTAGGTGAAAGATCTGACTTTAAACCAGGCAATCTAACACCTTGTTGTCCTTTTTAACAGATTTGATGTGTATGCGTCCTTGTAGGTAGAGGTTTGAAGTCCCATGCCTACACTCACAGTGTGCAGTTCACCCATCACGTGTTCCTCAATCTGCACACACTCAAGTTTTACTGTCTGCCAGACAACTACGAGATCGTTGACTCTTCACTAGAAGACATCACGGTAGGTGAAGTCATGGTGATACGATGGCATGTCTGTTATACTTTTCAATATCACATTGTCAATATTGAGATGCTGCTTTCAAAATAATGTACTATAAGCTTGTCATCTACTCACACTTTCTCCACAGTATGTGCTGAAACCGACTTTCACCAAGCAGCACATTGCAGGTCTGGACAAGCAGGGTAAACTCTACCGAGCCTACGATGGCACAACCTACCTGCCAGGCATTGTAGGGCTGAACAACATCAAAGCCAATGACTATGCCAATGTGGTCTTACAGGTATGAATAGCTGTCACAGCCTACCGCCTCTGGACTTTTGGCATAAAGGTTTGAATCATCACAAGAATTTCATGTGTGCCTCTTCTATCAAGGCTTTTTCCAATGTTCCGCCATTGCGAAACTACTTTCTGGAGGAGGAAAACTACAGGGGAATCCGCAGGCCACCGGGGGACATCATGTTCCTCCTGGTGCAGAGGTTTGGTGAACTAATGCGCAAACTTTGGAATCCAAGAAACTTCAAGGCTCATGTTTCTCCCCATGAGATGCTGCAGGCTGTTGTGCTGTGCAGCAAGAAGAACTTCCAAATTACTAAGCAAGGTAATGCGTTGGTTCCCATAAATGGAAACTGCAGTACTGTACACATGCTACTCTCTGGAAACCAGGTTTTGATGTTGATTGATTGTTCTTTGTCCTGCAGGAGATGCCGTGGATTTCATGACGTGGTTCTTGAATGCTCTGCATGGAGCTCTTGGAGGCACAAAGAAAAAAAAATGTGAGTGAAAATGACCAATTCATAATAATACACAAGTTATATTAATGTGATATTTAGATAGCGGTTTGGTATGCTAATTCTAAATTTTTCTGAGGTAAAGAAAAAAAAACAGTGGCACAGTTTTTGAATGGCATTTAACTTAATTCAGCCTTCAGCATGTCAAATGTTTCATATATTCTTGATTGTCAAAAAAAGTGAATTAACCGTTGCCCACATTTATCTCTCTGCCCAAGCAATCATTGCAAAAGCATTTCAAGGCTCCATGCGGATCTTCTCCAAGAAACTTCCCCATCCGGATTTAGTGAGTGTACTGCTTGTGTTAAAAAGTAGTTTATTGCCATCTAGAACATGATCTATTTTTGTTATTCGAGCAGCTATGACCTTTTAAATTCTTAAACCAGTTTTGTAATCTAATATTAATACTGATAGGCCCCTCTCCTTCGGTCAAGATAGTTTATCTGAATACTACTATCATAAACTTTGAAGCGTCTCAAATGAAATGCAACCTGAGGAGGAATAGAATTGCCCTTGCATGTGATATTTAAGTACAATGCAAAGGGTAAAAGAATATTCTCTATTTTCACATGCCCATAAATAGAAATTTATCAGACGATTAACGGTTTACAATGTGCAATATTAGAGTTGCATCCCTGTGATGACATGATTTGTTTTTTATTTCCCAGACACCAGAGGAGAAACAGGCCCTGCTTGTGACAGAGGAGTACCAGGAGCAGATGTCCGAGTCCACTTTCCTGTTTCTTACCCTTGACCTCCCAACAGCACCACTTTACAAGGATGAGAAGGAGCAGCTCATTATCCCGCAAGTCCCGCTCTTCAACATCCTGGGAAAGTTCAACGGCAACACAGAGAAGGTATGTCTATTTAATATTCTTCATTATTTCGTTCAGTATGAAATGCAGGAAACATTATTTGAAGCAATGTTGCAAAGCAGGAATCTAAACAGAAGGCTTTGCGAAACTGTATAGATACATTTTGACAGAGTCTGACCTTGTGGGGCTTTAAGGGTGAAAAAGGTATACAGCAGCTACTTTGGACAGGTGCAACACCAGAAAATTACACCTTGATGTAATGAACTCCCTGTCAGATAATCTAACTGGGTACATCTGAATCATATTCATATCCGTTCCTTTCAATTTGCTCTTCTACTCCCTTTGCTGTCAGTTTGCACAGCACATGTCCTCTGCCGAGAAACCCCAATTGACTATGTGTTCCTTTGGGTTTCATTTTCGTGTAATCCTGTCAGAAAGATGCTTAAAAACCAACCTGTCTCTGACCCGGAATTCTCCCCTAATAACAGTAAATCAAAATGAGCCATTTCTCTGGCACGCTATTTTCTTCCTGGAAAAAAACTCTCGTTTTGTCCTTTTTAAAGTGCAACTTTCACTGTGTTCTGTGGAAGATAATTAATTCCGACAACAGCAGTGCTTTGCAAAAGATTGCACTTGGGTTTAGGGCAATAAGCCCCACCTGCAATCTGCGCCATCCATTCTCATTTTTGTTTGTGTTTTACTGAGCACCCGTGCATATTCCCCTGTCTCATTTGCATCCAGGAGTACAAAACCTACAAAGAGAATTTCCTCAAAAGGTTCCAGCTGACCAAACTGCCTCCGTACCTCGTCTTTTGCATCAAAAGATTCACCAAGAACAACTTCTTTGTAGAAAAGAACCCTACAATTGTCAATTTCCCCATCACGTAAGTGTTGTTTAAATACTTAGGCACTTTGATTGATGCTATCTAAGTGCATGCCGCAGAAATTAATGGTTGATTTGCGTGTTGCGTATGGATATGCAGTTGTTTATGTTGCTACTTTGTATTTGCTTTGACAGGAATGTAGACCTCCGTGAGTACTTGACAGAAGAAGCTCAACTTACAGAGAAACACACAACTTATGACCTTGTTGCCAACGTAGTGCACGATGGGAAACCCACCGAAGGAGCATACAGAATACATGTTCTTCATCATGTAGGTTGCGGCCAGATATTTCTGAAATTATTGGTATCTAAAAACCTAACAATGTAATCTGACATGGGAAGTGTTGTGTTATACGTGCAAATCATCTCAACTTTTGTTTAATCAGGGAACTGGGAAGTGGTATGAAATGCAGGATCTGCAGGTGACTGACATTCTCCCCCAGATGATCACACTGTCGGAGGCCTACATCCAGGCAAGTCTTCCAACTCATTCTGAGCGGAAGTGTCATTTATGCGTAGGCGGGGCTCCATGTGTCTCTGTGCATAAGAGTGAGATGAAATATTCATCTCATCGATTTGATGGCACTCACATGGCTTATTCAAGGCATTTAGAAATAGTGATATGAAAAAAAAGAATAGCTCATACTCCTTTCCACATGTATTGTCTTTTGCATACAAATATTATATCATCAGCTGCCATATAAACATACAATATACTGTAGCTTTTAAAAACCTGTATGCATTGAATCCCTTTGTTCAAACCAGGTTGCAGTTTTAAATCAAGTAAATCATTTTTTTTCCCTCCTAGATCTGGAAGAGACAAGAGAGTGACGATGACACAAACAACCACACCGGGGTGTAAGTGAGGAACCATTTCCCTCGCTGAATGGCAGAATAAGAAGTTGGTGGTAAAGAAGCATCCAGATTAATTCTTTACTCCCACAAAAAAACAAATAAGTGTAAATTAGTTTCATGATTTTCTTCACTGTTTTTATGTTTTTACCATTTGGATGTTTATAAATAAAAAAAACTCCAGGAAACGAGTGTCTTGTTTATTGAATTTTAATGAGGTTTAGCAATTTGTTGTGTGCTTATTAGCACCCCAGATCATAGGATGATTGGATCATATTTTAATCGCACAATAGTCTTTCATACATGCTGGGAGCTTCCTATGTAATGAACGTTTTTTTTGTAATTTCCACATCAACATATTTAGCAATCTACACAATATTACCACTCACTAAACTGGAATACAAGAAACTGATGTTCCAGACTGAATCCCAGCCTGTGCTTTGTTACACTTAATACAAACTGAATAATGTTTGGAAAAACATTTATGCTTATTGAACAAAATAGCGTATGGCATTAATTTCAAAAGACAGAAAAGAGTTGATCAGTGCAATACATTTGTAAAAAGAAAGTGGTTATTTCTATGCTCACAGGCTGTCTGTGTCGCGGCGGAAGCAGGACTCGTGCACATGTCAGTTGCATTCACTCCTTCCACATGTACTTCTCACAGAAGGCCTGGTTCTGCAGATAAAAAGAGAAATAGGATGTGAAACAGAAATTTAATTTGCAAAATCATATTCAAACTTTTTTAAGTAGGCAGCTGGTCACATTGTGGTGTGTCTTGCGATTCAAACAGTCGTAATACTGTGAATGCAATACGACTTAAAATAATAGGACTTTCCTTAAAATACATTGAACATGCGGCATACTGACATCTTGAATTTAACTTACGCCACACTTTTGAGCAGTTTGAACGTCTTTGCACCAGTAGCTCGGCCCCCAAGTACAATGATTCGTTCCGAGCGGCTCCAACTTCCTCGCAGCAACACACAGATCAGCTCTCTGCAGGACGGACGGGCCAAAAGAATGAGTTCATGAGCATTCAAAGGGCTTCACTGTGGTCAGTGTCCATTTACTGCAGGATATAAGAGTTTCTTTTTCATTGTAAATGAGTCGACTCTTACTTCACAAGCATGCGGGGCTTCCATCTGGTTTCCCAAAACCTTCTGCAGTCTGGAGCCGTAGATTTTGGTGAAAGCCTCACACTGAAAAGAGCACGAGAGTTACTTACTTGTAAGCCGTGCGACAATATTTAGGGAATGAACAAGGATTGCGGCACAAGCTGAGGGATATTTGGAGTGAGTGGGAGTTGAGTGTCCGACCTTGGGAATGGCATTGGGGTGATGGACGCACACTGACTGCAGGAAAGAGGAAGTCTGGGATTGGGTGGAGTTGAGACCGAGATGTAGTCGGCTCAGCGCAGCCAGCGTGCGACAAAAGTCACAATCAGAGGGCAGGAACAACTCTGAGGAATGGGCACAGCGTCAGACTTGTTGGTGGAGGGTTGAGAAAATGGCCAAATGTACCAATTATAAGCATGCGACTGACCTTGGACGGGCTGCTCCTCGAACAAGCAGACGTGCAGCAGGGTACAAATTGTGTGAGGTGCAGCAGACAATAAGAGGAATTCCACTATCTGCGCGCCATATTTTTCAACAAAATCATTACATTGGTCCTTGTAGCTCTCTGGGAGGAGATAACAGACCTCTCCCATGACCTTCACCAAAGCATCCTGCAGGACAGAGAAGACATTTACATGATGTGATGTGTATTGAGGGATAGGTGCTGTATTTAATACAAAAGGTATTAGGAAAAATAGGGTCACCTCAGTCATATTTTGTGGCAGCAGAGTCTCCAGTTTTTTGATAAAATACAAACACAGGGTGCAGGCTGGGTTGAACTGACCCTGGAGAGAGAGAGAGAGAGAGAAAACTGTGAAAACCAAGACATTTAAAGTAGAATAATAAATAGTTTCATTTGAATCAACTTCTGCTTTCTCACACTGACCTGGGTTTTGGTGGCTGAGCCGAGTGCAGAGCCAGACACGTCCGTGTTGGTGGCACGGTGCGGAGTTTCCATCAGTTCCTCCTTGTGGGCAGCACAAAGTCCAAAAACCATGCAGGTGTCTCCAGGTTTCTACATGAAAACATTATCCTGCTTTAAAAGGTGATCCATGAAGGCCAAAGGGCCAATTATTTCCCCCAGCGTCATCAAAGAGGCCTAAATAGCAGGTAAACTCACCAGGTGACCGGGTGTCTGCTGCAGGACCTTCGGCAAATACACCTTGACCTGTGAATCGCACTGTGAGGTCTGTTCTGTCGGGAGGCGTTGGCACAGGGAATGCAAGGTTTCATACACAGTCTCCTGCAAAGGTGGACTAGTTAGTCTACATTGTGGCAAGAAAACTGTCCTCTTGACAAAGTGTAACATAAAGGCACAAGCATGCATGTACAAAATAACTTGACAAATGTAAACTTTTCTTGGTGGTGGCACATTTCAACGGATGTTTTCATAAAATTGTAGACTATTCCATTATAAATGCTCATTTTAGCGGTTAACATTTAAAGACATTACATGGATCACAGCGGAGTTTTTTTGTGTGCCAGTTTCCCATCAACCAATTCCACAAACCCAGCCGAAGGGTTCGGTAAGGCGAAGGGAAAAGGGAAGTGAGACTACAGCGGGTGAGCCATCAACATCCTCACCTTGGCATCCCTGCTGGAAATCATGTTGGCGGAGAGCTGGAGGAACTGGCTGCACTCTGAACACACGTCTACGGTCTAATACACAGGGGACACGGGGGAGATCATGCACAGCAACAACATTACATCCGTACAGAAAGCCACCTCTTTAAGAGCTATCGCACAGAAATCTTTGTTGCTGGATCCAAGTGACTGCAAGTGTCAGGCACATCACCTTTAGTTAATCACTGTTTTACACAGAAATGCTTTTAAATGAGACATTGTTCTTGCAGAGTTCAGTATGAACAGTGGGTTTCATTTGCGTGTTGTATTGTTGCCATTAATATAGTATCGATGCTCTTTGTAACAAAACGGTGATAACACAAAGGGGAAAAGCCAGGCTCACCAGTGATTTCTGTTTGACGAGTGAAAACGGGTCCGCGATGAACCTCGAGTCTCCTTTAAATCAGAGCACATTTAAATGAATTACGCACTGGTCCGCACCCAACACATTACGCCATAAATCCCACGACAACAACCTGGTCTTTGACAACACAATTAATAACGCCCTGTCAGGGGCCAGTGAGGCAGACGTCAGCAGTAAATGTCCTCTACGTACCGGGACTCAGAGACAGCGCGAGGATCCCCAGGAGGAGGCCAGATGCTGCCATGGTGGTTGAAGTCTTACGGTCTTTAATTGCCATCGATCATAAGGTCCGTGCTGCGCTTCTTCCTCTCGGGTGATCGCAAAGAGCGCATCTCGTGTGCGTCCCGTGGGCGCGTCACCGCCACCTGCTGCCCCGGAGTGCGCACCTCCTCGACCACTTCACGGGTTAGTTGGTAGTTGCTTCGCGGGGGCAGCTGGGGGCAGTATGCGCCCTAATGAGTGCGCATACTGCCCCCAGCTGCCCGTATGAAGTGCGCATTGCGCAATAAGGACACGCTGCAGATGACATACTACATCTTTTTCTGGCGTACTGAATAATATATTCGTACAGAGATGGTGTGCTGCAGGAATGAAACCTGAAACCAAAGAATATAACGTCACGAAAGAAGGAAGTATCTAACTCTATTCTGTATTTTAGAGGTCACTAACTGGACCGGACCCAGAAGCCAAAAAGCTAAAAAAAAAGACGGTTGTTATTTAAACGTGACAGCGCACTTTTCGACTGCGCAGCTTTGGGCGTCTTTACGGTAGTGGCTTAAAGCACAGACCAATTGTATACGAGTTAAACCGTCCCACGTGATACTACTCGGCCAATCGAGTCGTTGCATTCCAGGCAGGACGATGATATGGTCTCAATACTGCGGACAGACGAGAGAGGTAGCGGCACATTACAAATAAAAAGACAGTAGGAAGAAAAGAAAGATAGCGAAATTTGAGAAAAAGACGAGTGAGACGGAGAAAGCGAAAGAAAGAGACGGCCGAGAAAGATAGATAGACCTTAATTATCCCACTTACCAAAAACGTGGGGGAGTGGTTATTCTATTATACTGTTAAATTGTTAAAATACGTTTAGATGTATTATTTTGAATTTGCTGACACTGTCAAGTCCACATGTGAAGCAGAAAAGGGGAAATTCAAGCGTATCTTCCCGTTATTTTATTGTATTATTAATAGAAGCACTTTCTAGCATGCAGAAAGTTTCACTTTTTAAATGCAGCCCTACTTTTATTGAGTAAATTGAGAGAACCAGGAATGAGGAATCAGGAAACATTTATTAGCAAAATATGACCAACATACAAGGAATTCGTCTTGGCGGTTGGTGCGCAGCAGTCGACAGACAAGACAGCAGTGCACAAGTAATAAAATAAAGTAAAATGAAATGTATCTCATAAAACAATTGAGAAACATTAGACAAATGGATAATCAGATCAATCATGTTTAGGTGAATATAAGATACATTTTTTGCATAATTTTCGGTATTCATTTTAATGATAATACAACATCTATAAAGAATCAACCTGCACACAAGAAGGTGTTTAGCACTGAGATACACCGTATTTACATTTATTGCATAAAGAGGATGAAGTGTGTATGACTGAATTAGCAGGTGCTTTTTCATTGCAAAGCAGGTGTCACTTCTTTTTACTTCTTATAAAAATAAAGTATTGACTGTCGGGAAGACAGAACGGAATGTGAGAAAACAGCATAAATCACATTCCATCTGCAGTGTGACGGAAAGTAAAACACTGACCAAAGAGGCCAGGAAATGATCTGACAAACCTGCTGTACATGGCTGCAAATAGAAAGTGTTGGCACGGAGTAGGCGTGTGCAGAAACCATCAGATCATACAGCCTTCATGGGTGACATACCTCAACATTAAATGCTGTATACTCATCAACTAATTATGATTCACAAACAATTCACAAAACCAGGTTTATAATAGTTTACCCACTTTGATTTGATCATTCCTCAATATCTCAAATACACCAGTTGCTAGTATGTTCTTCACTGCTACGTCTCAGCGAGGTACCTTCAGATGGTGATGGAGATTAGATTATAAAGGAACTAAGTTATGTTTTGTTTGCATGCTGTTTTGATGGGAGTTGCTCCATTAAAGGAGATATGTTGATTTTGGAGCATTACTGGCAGCACCAAGTAGTTGGTCAATATAACAAGTTTCGATTCAGATGTTTGAGAGGGTTGTTACTATCCACCGTATCCATTTCAACTGGCGCCTGGCATGAAACATTTAAACAAAACACCCGTCTATGTCATGTGGTGCCAAGCACCTGTAAACTAACCTGTCTGTATATGTCACTCAAATTAAGCTTGAGTTCAGAAATGATCATTCAATAATATCTTCATCCGAACTTTTTTGTTGTTGTTTTTATACAAAGCAAGACATTTTTAGCAGCACTTTCTTTATTTTTTGCCAACTTTGCAGTTGACGAGTAGGTTAACTGGCTTCCTCTAAGCGCATAAAAGCAAATGTATAAATAGGCGGATGTGGCTTGGCATTTGTTCAGACATGTCACGCTTCTGTTTTTTTTCCACCACAAGCTAATTAAACATAACACAATAGCATAGCATAGCATGACATAAAAAGAAGGGCCCTTTTCTGTAAGATGTCTTGTTTTGTGGGCTCAGCAGTGCTGTAATGCCAGAACATTCATTGACAGAGTCATTGCTAAAATATATATTACTCAACAGAACGAATGTGAATAATTACATTGATTTGCCGTCCTATTCAAACTGAAATGTGTGTTTTCCTGTCAGTTGTTATTTTGTGTTGTGTTTCTTAATGTGATTCTCTACTGGCATAAATTCCTCAAACCCAAAAAATTACGATAAGTTATCATCATAAGACCTTCCATCTTACTGTATACTGATTTTCTGAAGACAACCTATTTTAAATAGGTTATTTTGTGTTATTTTGTGGCAATGTACTAAATGCAAGGCAAAAAGTGTCGTTTGTGCAACATTTTTCCTCCAACTTATTTTAAATTGAATAGCGATTGAATACTATTGTTCTTTTATTGGGGCTGAAAGAAGAAGAAGTCCTGGAGAAATCATGGAAAATTACCTTGAAACAGGGAAAGATTTGAACCCTGACAATCATGAATTGAACTTCAAACCTCACTCTCCTGTGATCAAGTCTTTTTATTGATCAACGGGATTACGTTTGTAATGACAAGCGGAGCAGACAGGTCTGACTGCTTTGCGCTCCCGGGCCGTCCTTTGGCACGACTCAAACCGCACTGGGACGAAGACAGACTCTATCAAGAAGCATGATCTACCTCTGGGGGCAATAATAAAATTAACAGCAATCTCCTGGACAAAGGTCTTGTATCTGTTTGTGCCTTTCTCTTTCCCTTCCAACAGCCTTCTGTGGACGATGTAGCTCTTAAAACTAGAGGTAGTTCCATTGACCTTCTACTTCTGCACCGACCAACTGTTGATGTGGCGAGGCTGAGTTTTGTGTTCACTTTTTTTGTGCGAGCAAAGTAAACCTACGTTCCTCTCAGCCTGACCACCAAACGTTGCTAAACACAACACACTTTTAAAGCTCTTTAAAAACCCATCAGTATTCATCTCATTTGCTTGGGGTCGGGTCACCGGGATCAGTGTTCAACGATGTAAGTTATTTATTACTCGTAAACATGTCGCACACGCTTCCAGTCAACTCTTTATTTCTATTTGATAATTGAGAGAGGTTGTTGCCGAACCACACCTTGTTACCATGGAGAACATACCAAAGTCTACCTAGTGAATCTGGGGGTTTTTGGGCTTTATCTATGACTTCCAATCTGTGGAGTTTGTAATTGTGATGCAGTTGGTTTTTCCACTATTAAAGAAGAGGTCCTGACTTTACTTGTGTAGAAGAATTCAAAAAGCCACCTGGTGTCCTGCATCCAACTTGGAAAGTTGGGGCTTCAAATATCAAACATTTTGTATCACAAAGGGACATAAATACACAAAGACTGCAAGATTTAACATTCAATGTAGTTTTGGAGCCCGTAAACAGCTGGATCTGTGCCGTACAAGAAGCCAAGCCTTTCCATTACACTGGCTTGGTACAAACCAAACCGTTTAAATAAATGCCAAATGACAGTGAAAATATTAAACAATGATTAAATACAAGTCAAATACAGCTACAGCACAGATCAATCAATATTAGTCCCTGTTTTATTGTGTGTGTTTAAAAACCCTAATTCATTATACTCTTAAGATGCCAATTTTTATTGCGTGACTTCCAAATGTATATACTGCATAGAGTGTGGAAATGTGGGTCTTGTCTAATTGCAGACTATCAAACATTGTATGGACAAAGATATACACAGATATCCGCACAAACACAAGATTTAGCATTCAAAATGGAACCTACCAAAAAGGCACGTGTTCGTTAACTTCCTCCAAGAAATTTCTTGGAAATCCCCGGTGCTACATGGCGTGACAATGATGAGTTTCCTTGAGGTTGAAATTATGGCTTACTGTACGTCACAACTTCCTCAAAGTCCACCTAGGTCATTAACTAATTACACAACCGTCATACAATTGGAATGTGTTCAAATCCAAATTAAGCTTGGTAAATAAGACCAGTGCAAACAGGTAAACATAAAAACATAAATCACATCTGCCGTTGTGTGTGTATATATATGTATATATACATATATATATCATCATATTGATGATAGGATAAAGCAATATTTCGCAGCAGTCGTTCTTACTTATAGAAAAAGCCCAGCTGTCACGTAAACACTACATTTAGCAAAAACTCTGTTCATGCGCCTCGGTTTGACTTTTAGCCAAAAGACAACAACTATTGTTTTTGTTTAAAGTTAATTGTGTGTGTTTCCTATTGATCAGTTGACACACATAAAGAGGCTTCCCACCCACAGATGTGCTCTGATCACACATTGTATACATCTAAAGAACTCATCATGGATGTAATACATTAAACATTATTAACATAAAAGTACAGATTGTTTATTATCCATTGGGCCACAGCAGCTTTTAAATTAGCCAAATATTGAATAATCTTTAACAACAACTACTATATAAAGACAGTTTACTTACTTACTTACTTGTACAGAGTATATATATTGGTACAGATAGACAAGTTCCATACCAACTTGTCACTAATTCTACTTCTGTGAAGTTTCTGCTTAAGACTCCGCTTCAGACTCTACCTCGACTAAAAGACTAACAAATTGTAGCACTTGAATTGTACTTATGACGCTACTCATCTATAGCAAATTGTAAATTGGCTTATTTGAGGAAATTGTACTTTCTTGTTTCTTGTTCTTCTTGAATGCACTTATTGTAAGTCGCTTTGGATAAAAGCGTCAGCTAAATGACATGTAATGTAATGTAAAAAAATGTTATTTTCTATAGAAATATAAAAATATGTAATATTCCCTTTTCCAAAATGTGAAATGGGACAATTTACAAAAACCACGCCAAAAACTGCTGTGAAACCTAAAATGAAAAACTAAAAAAGACTTATCGTTGTTTGATGCGAAAAATATGGATTTGTAAAATGGATTTGAGAGAACAGGCTAGAATGCTGTAGTTTAGTCTTAAATGACTACATTTTATTTTATACAGATTTCAAGAATTACATAACAAGAAAATTAAAGGAAAATCCCTTTCCCTCTTTTTTTCTTCTTCAATAACCAATAATAACATAAAACATTATAACGTGTATTTTCCCCCACTCCTGGTCCTCAATTTACGTAATGTCATTACGAATAACCCAGACAAGATGGGCATCGTGTACAAACTTTGACCTTGCAACGCAACTCGTCTTCAGGAAAAAAGGATTTCTTTCCTCGTTGCTTTTTCTCCGTAAATGACACCTGAAGTTGTTCAACCGGTGCGTAACTGGAAGAAAGAGATGATGCATTGTCTGCAACAAAAAAATCCTGACAAACACGTTGTAAGAGCCGACTTATGATTGATGGGTGGGTCAGCCTGCCTATATATAAACTAACTGCACTTCATTTAAAACGCAGTCGGCTACTTGGCGCTATTCGAAGGCTACTTTACCTTTGTTTTCAACTTTCACCGGGGCCTTTCGGACTGGTCGTTTTTCCCGAGATGAAGTTCCCTCTGTGCCTACTGGCTGCAGTTCTTTACCTGAGCTTGCAATGCCAGGTAAACGCTGGTGAGTAAAACCTTCATCCTCTCACTTACACACATAGTTTTAAATGCAGTCAGTATTCGTTTGATTGCAGCCACAATGTTCTCTCTTGTGCCACACCAACATATCTCGGCCAAAATGTTTGAGTTTACGGTTTGTGCTTTTTTTAGGTATGAAAAAAAAAATAAAAAAAATAAAACCAAATGTATTTATGCTTTCAGAATCGCATTTGAGCAGGAGTGCCATTGAAAGGGCTGTGATTGCAGCCAAGGCCACGGTGGACTCAGCCTATGAGTACTCCAGGAGAGTGTGAGTGCATCTTGCTGGCGACATTCCTCACTACTTTGATTGGGGGGAGAAGAAAAGAAAAAAAAAAAGCTGTTAAACAAAGGTGTATGAATTGACTGTTGAAGACATTCTGACAGAAATCTTAAATGTGACCTCGCTGCAGGAGTGTTGACCGCGTGAGGAGGAACGCAGTGAGTCCGTCGGACGTGCTGCGGTTGTTGAAGCAGCCGGCTGGCGCGACGCGTAATGCCGTGCGCTCCGCCGACTACATGGAGAACGCCGTGAAACTGATCCAGGCTTCTTTGCATAGACGTCAAAAGCGCTCCATTAACGCCACAGGTGTTTATCCATCACAGCTTGCCGGACATTTCTGTCAAACATTCGTGGTTTGAGTTGTTGAGCGGCTGAGTTGATCATTTGCTGTCTCCGTTCAATAGACCTGATCTCTGCGGAGGATCTGAAATTCATCGCTGAACTGACTGGCTGCTCCGCCCGACGTCAGAATCCAACTTGCCCGACGGAAAGCAAGTTTCGCACTCCAAGCAACACCTGCAACAACAGGTGAGGCAACGATTCAACGGAGGCATTTTATACACCTTTTACTGCAAAGCCATCTTATATTTCAGGAAACAGTTTATGATGTTTCGGCACCATGACTTCCGACCTTTGTTGCATTTTGTCCCTGACCCCTTCCCTGTATTCTGTTCACTCAGTAAAATTCAGTGAATGCAAAGGGACGTGAAAGTAAACCTTGAAACAGAAAATATTATAACAGATTATTTTTCACTTGTTTAGGAAAAACCCTCGCTGGGGAGCTTCCAACACACCTTTCGCCCGCTGGCTCCCTGCCGAATATCAAGATGGAATCTCTCTGCCCAAAGGCTTTGACCCTGAGCGAAAAGTCAACAGCTTTGTGCTCCCCTTGGTAACGTACTTAAAGTATATCACCCTCACTGACAATCGAAAATATCACAAAGGTGCTCATTGCCCACACCCTGTTCTCAGGTCAGAGCAGTGTCCAACAACATTCTGAAAACAGCAAAGGCCGATGTGGAGATCGACCCCCTCTACACCTACCTGGTGACAATCTTCGCCCAATGGACAGATCACGACCTGACGTTGACACCAACTTCTCCCGTGATCAGGTCTTTCAATAACGGGATGGACTGTGCTAAGAGCTGTGAGAACTCAGAGCCCTGTTTCCCCATCAAGGTCAGTGTTCGCTGCAATAAAAGACATGAGTACATCTAAGACACGCACACTCACAACCACACACACACATACACAGAATAGATGTTGACTGCTTCCTGACTGCTTCTCCTCAACAGTTTCCTAAGAATGACCCTCGTAATGCTTCAGAGGAGTGCATCCCCTTCTTCCGCTCAGCACCAGCTTGTGGATCTGGCAACACCGGACACATTTTTGGAGCAAGCACTGTCCGTCAGCAGATAAACTCTCTCACAGCTTTCCTTGATGTAGGTCAGGTGTATGGTTCAGAGGACACAAAAGTTCGTTTTCTACGAAACCTCACCTCAAATGAGGGCCTGCTGAGAGTCAACACCAGGTTCGATGATAATGGCCGTGAGCTCCTGCCCTTCTCCTCCATGACAACCAACATGTGTGCCACCAGGAAGCGCATTACTAATGACAGTTTTGCAGAGGAGGTGCCCTGCTTTGTGGCTGGTGAGTATTACATATTATTAAAGGTGTTAAATCCATTACATTGCAAGCATTGCACGGGGCTGACAACACGTTTGTCCCCATTTCATCTGACTTTGAAGGTGACGATCGAGTCGATGAGAATATTGGTCTGAACTCTTTGCACACACTGTTCATGCGTGAGCACAACCGCCTGGCCCGTGCTCTGGCAAAACTCAATCCACACTGGGACGGAGAGAGACTCTATCAAGAAGCACGAAAAATCATGGGAGGATATACGCAGGTTAGTGACAGATTTAGCAGCATGGAGTACAGAAATATTGATATGTCACATGGTTCAATGAACTCAGGCCATTTTCTCTCTTTAGGTTCTAACTTTCAGAGACTTCTTGCATCACATCGTCGGTCCAGACTTCATTGCCAGTCATCTGTCCACCTACCCTGGTTATGATGAAAACGTGGACCCCTCAATTGCCAATGTGTTCGCTACAGCTGCCTTTCGATTCGCCCACCTAATGGTTCAGCCTAAAATGTTTCGTCTTAACGAGCAGTACGAGGAGCACCCAGTTTACCCCAGCCCGTTGCTGCACAAATCCTTCTTCGCACCGTGGAGGGTCGTCTTTGAAGGTAATGCTGAGGCCTTTAACTTCATCGTTCCCTAACCAGAGAAGGAATGCAACTGATCAAAATGATCTCTTGTGTTCCTCAGGCGGTGTGGATCCACTCATCAGGGGCCTGGTGGGTCGTCAAGCCAAGCTCAACACACAGGACAACATGATGACTGATGAGCTGAGGGACAGGCTGTTTCAATTCACTCAAAAGTTGGCCCTGGATCTAGCCTCCCTCAACATGCAGAGAGCAAGAGACCACGCAATCCCTGGTATTTATTTGCTCATCGAACTTCGATTTTATTTACATACATATAGAATTCTGCACTCTCAGAAATCAGGCAACATATTTATCCTGCATGTAATTTTTAGGCTACAACCAATGGCGCAAGTTTTGTGGGCTGTCACAGCCCAAAAATTTGAATGAGTTGAGTCAAGTGCTGAATAACCGAGACCTGGCCAAAAGACTGCTGGATCTCTACTCAACACCTGACAACATCGATGTGTGGCTTGGAGGAGTCGCAGAGCCATTTGTCCGTGGAGCAAGAGTTGGACCTTTGTTTGCCTGCCTGATTTCCACTCAGTTCCAGCGTATCCGCCAGGGAGACCGGTAAGCACTAAAAATGCGTTCTGCGGAGCTGTTTGTGTTACCTGCACCTTTACTTTGATGACAGACTCAATGATACAGATACTTACAATTTTGGCAAACCTCCCAATTTCAGATTGTGGTGGGAGAATGATGGTGTATTTACTGATGCTCAGAAGAATTCCCTGAGGAGCACCTCTCTGGCTCGCATTATCTGTGACAACACAGGTATCACTGAAGTACCGGAAAAACCCTTTCAGTACCGTCCTCGAGGAACTGGTTACACCAAATGCGAGAATATCGCTCCCTTCGACCTCGGTCCATGGAAGGAGAATTGTGAGTAGTTGTCCTGAAATCACAACAGACACAGTTAACCAAAGCCAATTTTTTCCAACAATAGAATATTTTAATATACTGTTTCAATTTCGTTTTCACCAGCAAATGAGCGTGGACCCCCGGGACCACCAGGTAGATCTACAACTTATCCATGAATATTAAAATTGAAAAAGTATTACTGTAGAATACAGTAATAGGAAGGTTCCACTGATGTAATTGTACTTTCTAATTGTATTTCTTTCCTTCATACAGGACCAAGTGGACCGAGCGGACCCCCTGGCCCCCCTGGACCTCCTGGACCTCCAGGACCTCCTGGCTCTGCGCATAAAGTTGCTTTCTCCGTCCGACTTGGCAACAACTTCCCCAAACCTGGCGTGCCCTTGGTCTTCCGTGATGTCATCTACAATGGACAGAACTCTTATGACACATCCACAGGGGTTTTCACATGTGCGCAACCAGGCGTGTATGAATTCCAGTTCCACTGCACCATCCACGATGGCACGGGCAGTGTGGACCTGATTCGTAACTCAAAGCTGATTCTGCACTCATTCACCACCACACAGAGTGGATATCTCATAGCTAGTGGCAGCGTGTACGTCAAACTTGACAAGGGAGACCGTGTCTATCTGGTGGCAAACTACGGTGGCAACGGTTTGACAACTGACAGTTATTTCTCTGGGCATCTGCTATTCACTGAGTAGGAAACTGCTCTAGAATACGCGTTCGATCCACAGCATCCTTAAAACACAGATTTTTTAAACTTTTATTTAATCCCCTAATAATAAGATGATTCGATGATATAATCACTTCCAGTTTACTTTCCTGCATTAGAATTTATGGAGGCACACCTGATGCAAATGATTCTGGGTTAAACTGTTTTCCGGATCAGAACTACACTGAGACTTTAACTAAAGACAAAATAAAATCTTGAAATAGACTCTTTCTTTTGTAGCAGGCATTGCTGACAGAAAATTATTATTTGATTGTTCATGAATAGTACTAGATGAAGTGATTTTTTCATGTAGCCATTTTAGGAAGGGAAACGCTTATTCTACTCTTTTTGTTGTTGTTGCTGTTTGATTAAAAGAAAATAATTAAATATATCATTGCATTTTTGGGAAGATGCTGTGTTTTTTTAAACGTGTATGTGAAATTCACTTAATAAATGATTGTATTACAAATCAACTGCTGTCTCTGAATACTTTTTCTGATGATACACAACTCCAGAGAACAACAACAAATTAGTTTGCATACCAGGAAAACCTCCGGTGATGATGTTCTTAACCAGACCATTAGATGGCACTGACATACAATTTTTTAAGTAAATGAAGAATCCTGTACCTGTGGTTCTGGATGAACTGAAGTACTTATTTCTGCATCTTGAGGACATAATTGTTCTTAAAATAAACAATCATTTCATAGATGGTATCTCTCAAATCTCGATTAAATCATGATTGATGGTAGACTCTTTGCTTCAAACACATGCACGTTAATTGCTTGCAACTAAGTCAAGATTGCTCTGAAGGGATGTTTATTTTGTTGTATCTACAATGCCTAAATTTAACAACAACCTCTTCACACAAATTGTAAATTAACCTGAGTTCAGTAGTTGGTGGGATGGCAGGAGTGCAATGCAAAACCCTTCTCTAAAGCAGAGTTTTTGTCACAGCAACAACAAACCATGATCATGAAAACCAGACTACCTGATGTTCAATTGCAAATACTGGCGTATGAATGATTGAAATTTATATCAAATTAACAACAGGTGAAAAGTTCAGCAAAAAGAGGATGAACTGAGTGTGGGTTTTCATCTGCAGTGCTTACTGCTGCAAGACATACGATACAAGTTATTAGGTGCAGTACATTTATGATTAGCTCTTCCTCCTTGGCGTTGAGACAACACTTCTTTGAAGAACCAGTGTTCCACCTAGCAGGTCATTAAACACGTCATTCTGCATGTGACCGGTTGACTGAAAAAAATGTACTAAGAATAATTTCCCATGTGACATTCTTATTTGGATTTGAGCCAGTTCAATACCATTGCCATTGTGGACCACCTGTAATGACAGTGTAATTACCATAACTGTGAAAAGGTAAACTAAAGAGTTGAAAAGAAGTGGACAATGCAATTCAAAGGGTAGTTCTTATATTCATCCAATTCATCAGTAAACCATAAACATCAACATTTGATAAGGACAATATATTTTGACGTCGAGAACCAACCTCTAAACTTTCAAAATGTTTTTTTATATGTTTAGCATAAGTCCAATAAGCCACTCTTGCTTTGCTATAGAAAAAAAATCATATTCACTTTTCGTTTCTTTAAGGAATTATTTCAACGCCAAATCACAACAGGGCGAACGGTGGTCGCTCCACCTCAATGGCAGACGCTGCATCCCGAACTCCTTGATAACTAAACAAATGTAATAAAAACAACACAATATATGACAATCGATGGGAGAGCTGGTGCAGCATTAGCTCGCATTGTTTTTTGCACAGTGGAGAAGAGCGACGGGGACCAGCTGCTGCGTCTCCACACACACACACACACACACACACACACACACACACACACACACACACACACACACACACACACACGCACACGCACGCACGCACGCACGACCACGCCCCTCCTGACCTCCGTGGACACAGCGACATCCACACAGAGGGCCTGTGTGTCCCACGGGAGCAGGGGAATGCTGGAGAGGACGAGCGGCACACGATACCCTATTGTTTAGTTTAGCAGTCACTGATTCTCCCCCTCTCCTCCCCCCTCCTCCCCTCCTCCCCACACGCACACGCACCTCCTCCCCGCAGCGCACGGGCTGATCGTCTCAGCGGGTTAAATTGATTAGAAAGACGTTTGTGGTTTGACTAATCCCCCCATTTTCGCCCCTCTTCGCTTCAACAATTTATAAAAGCCACATTTAGACAGAGGAGTCCTGTGAGTTGTGATCGTGATCGTGTCCTGTGGGGCCCAAGTGGACAGACGACTCGGTTAAACATCATCCCGATGAGGGTTTTCTGTCTTGACTTGATCTGTTTCTTTGGTAAATGACAGTTTTCTACCAGCTCGCTTCTGAACAAATAAATAAGATTATAATGTATGTTGTCTAAAGCGCAGGATACATTCGGTTTGGAAAAAAATCTAAAGAATTAGCAGCACAGCAATGCTTTGGGTGAACAGATTATTTTCGGTAAAACCTCCGCATGATTGAACAAAACATTCCCCTGTGATTACTTTGGAAACCTGTTTGATCCTGACTCACGGCAACTAAAAATATGTTCCGATGTCCCCATTTGACCACCGCCCACCACTTAATCTAAACTAACATTAAGTGCTTGCGTGACTACCTCACACACACCTTCCTGAGCAATTAAAATGCAGCAAAGCCCAAAACTTATACTTTAAACTAATATTTCCGCCTTAGATTATGACGATACTTTTAGTTTGCAGGGGAAGCCCTTGCTTTCTTGCACACGATCAATCATTCTGAGTCGATTAACTGGTTTCTTTAAAAAGGCACTGGCGTGTCGGACTTCTTTTGAGATGAGACTATGTTTCCTAAACAAGCAACGTGCTTTGAAAGGAGCAACTCCCTGAATTACAGTAAAGGAATTTTACCAAAGTGTGTCATCATATAAAAATGTTTCATGCTTAAGTGGAGCTGTCCATCATGTCAGGGGAAGCGTGCGAGGTACGGCGCCACAGGGCGGGGACCCGGCAGCAGGATTCCCCAAGATTGCTTCTTAGAATTGGGGGAACATCTGACTTTGTCCCGCACTGGCAGATGGTGGGTTGGGGCGGGATCCGGGGGGGGTACTTCCATTGTCCAGGCGCACAAACTCCACACAGAGACAATAGTATCGGTAAGGAGCAAAGACCCAGGGTTTAAAAAAAGCCAGATGATCAGGGGAGGAAATTATTTTTTTTAGTGCCAAAAAACAAGGAAGATAAAAGCTCGTTATGTTCGTTCTGTTGGGCCTAAACACAAACGCGTTTTGTAACTTAGAATGATTTTGACAAATGAATGAGCAATGTAAAATGCAGCAGTCTGGATTAGGATATACTTTGCCAGAAAAAAAAGTGCTCGACCAGTAAACCTTCTAAAGTTGCAAAATCCTAAAAAACAAGCAGCTTAAGAAACTTTGTCAGATGCCAGAATCACACCTTCCATATCCAACCATTTGTTGTTTCCAACTTGCAGAACTGCGCCTGTGACGGCGTATTTTTCTTTCGTTATCAGCATTCGTTCTCAAACGCATTTCATGAACACTTGGACGAGGCTTGTTCTCTCGCATGTCTGCTGTCTTTTCGGGCGCCGTCGGGCAACGCAGCGCCAATCGGAGCGCAGCGCAGTCCGCTGCTGGCGGAGATTGATGGACCAACCAGACGGCCATTGTTGCGGCTGACACTGATGCGATGCCTCCTCAGCGGAATCACTGCGTTCAAAGGAGCAGACGGTGGAGCTGCTGAATGCGAGCGTGTCGAGGGCGCACTTGTGTTACATTCTGCCCCGAATGAATAGACCAAACAGGATTTGCTGCACGGACTGTTCAGCGCGGCATGTGAATGAGAATGCGTGCTAACATTTCAACAAGTATAAAACACTCAACAGGGGAAGGGATGAAAAAAGCTTTTTGTTGACGCAATTTGATGCTATAATAATATTGATGGTTAGGTCGCTCCTCGCTCTCCTTTTCCACGCGCACACGCGCACAGATAACCGGTCATTTCAATCACGCACAATTACAATCCTCAATGTACACGTAACCAGCGCAGTAGCTGATTCTATAAAATGTATAAAAGTGTGCTTTTCATTCCTGGTTCCAAGTTGATGTGTAAAAACTTTGTTGCAATAGTCACTGGTTGGATGCTGAGTCTGGCAGAAGTCCAAACAACGGATGCACTTTTCACCAATGAGAGCATCCATTTCAACAATCGGTCCCCCATATGGCACCGAGGCCCCTCCTCCACGCGCTATCCCAGCAGAGGGTCTCATTCATGCTTCGATTAAGCGGGTCACTGCAAGCTTCCCGGCCCTCGGAGATCAACTGTTTCGATCCGATCTGGCCCTCCGACAAAGGGATACTTTCTGCACACACACATATTTGAGAGAGTATTTCGAAACGGACTGAAGTGTGTGAGGAGTGAGCACAACGAGCAGGTGATCATTTGCGTTCGAACCGACGCTGGCGATTTGCGCTTGGACAATGCTTGCAACTAGTGTGGGAATATATCTGTTATCATCGTTTCAGCCTTGAGAGAAAGTGTGCTTGGATTTTGAACTGCGTGGCGCCTTCTAAAACACCACCACACAGCGCCGGTCACTTGTCCTGCAACGCTTCTGGAGGAGCGCAGCGCCGTGGGTGGACCTTCTGCTGTTGGCCGAAGTGCTTTAGCGAACACGCTCAGTTATTTTTTGTAAAGTTAAAAAAAAAGTGCTACCAAACGCGCAGGACGTGGCTTAAATGTTCGGAATCCAGGAGCATTTGATGCGAGAAGTGAGCGGATTAAAAGAGAGAAGTCTTGCGGAGGAGATGGATCCGGTCCGTTCGTGGGTGCGTAATGTCGGGGTTGTGGATGCGAACGTAGCGGCGCAAAGGTACAGTACAACGCCAGCTGTTCCACTGACATCAACCTCTCACCATCTATTCTCATCAGTTGCATCGAGTTAGCAACATAACGGGTCTATTTTCAGAATCAGCATCACAAGCAGAATGTAGTTTATAATGAGTCGATATTTAACATGGCAGACGTCCATTAAAACTTGTTGCAAAAGATAACAAGTGTCCCCTTTAAAGCTGTTTGTCTCCAACTCATGAAACATCTTTAATTATGATGTGCTAAACAGCTATTAATAACATCATTGTAGTTGTTTTAAAGTAATGAGACATCACGTGCACAAAAGGAAATAAGGCCCATATCGCAGAAACGAAAAACCAATAATCGGAACGATTAGACTTGAAGGTGTCAAACACAGCTGTTCGGATAATTTACTTTGGTGCAGTAGCGGGATTTACAAAGCTCACGCAGTTAAATCTAAAAACCTGTTTGTGAAAGCTGAATTTCACAAAACAGCTATTTAAGTTAATTGAGCAGGAAAAAACGTATTATCTTGAGCCGCCACGCACTTCATTCATATTGATGGTTTTCATAAACGTGTTTTGATTGTTGAATG